AGGACGTATTAGGTCTTGGTGTAATGAATTGCTTTTGATAGCAGACACATCTGAATTTGGGGCACTCTGTATTTTCAATCTTATCACCAAGGAAGGGTTTCATCTTCCACAATGGTTATGCTCAGACCACTGTGGAGGACATTTTAGATGCAAGTGCGGGCTAGTTCTTACATTTGATAAATTCAAGAGAGTATACAAGGTAATGCATGTAGTAATCCTCTACAAGTTGGTTCAATGCGAGATACTTGTTTCAGAACGCAACTCATTGTCTTTCAGTAGCTCGAAGTGGAAAAGGATCGACGGACCTGCTCAGATAGGGGGGACGAACTATTATTGGTTTGACCGTGTCTGTTGAAGGGAGGTTTCTCCATTGGGATGTTCATTCTGCTGAATACATACTTTCCATGGATATAGTTAAAGAGAGGTTTCAAGAAACGCATCTTCCAGAATATGGTAATGGTAATTCTTCATTGAGCAGCTCGTATGAGTTCATAGAGAGGGATAGCCTATTATGTCTTCTACTTCCAATTTCTAGGAACCAAGTGAACAAATGGATTTTGATGGATTTTCAGAGAACAGTATGGGAGAGACTACAATCTATAAGAAGCTTAAGCTATATGGCTTCAGAGATTAATCCGGAAAGAACTCATCCTGTTCCCCTTGCTTGAAAAATGGCAGCATTATAATCTTCAGGAAAACGGGGTCTGGATTTGGTTATTTTGCTTACTATTTGGAATATAATCGTACGATCAATCTAGAAAATGGAAGAATTAAGCCCAACGAATGCTGGTTGGTTCAGTCAAAAGCCTTGGATTATAGATAGGTTAAAAGGCAACATTTTCACTTGGAGGAGAGTAAAAATTGACTGCAACAGCCTACAAGTTTATTTTGCTATTCTGGGAGTGTTTTTCTAAGTTTTCCCCTTTCTTCTGCTATTCTGGGAGTTCTGGTGCTATTCTTTCAGTTAAATTGCAGTGAAATAGTTTGGATGTAATTGAGATAATTGGATGTTCGTCTTGAAGATATGTTCTACTTTAAATAAGTTTGAAAATTTTTGTTCCTGCTGAGTATCTGTGAGTCATCATCGTGGTCATCATCATTCTTTACTTAATCCAGCTCGCCAAACTCAGATGAACTTTCCCCCTCCAATATTTTCTATTATGTATCATTTCGTTTAGCATTTTATTTTTTTTGCTCCCAACAAGTTTTATTGCATTCTTACTGCTGCTACAACTGCAACTTAGAAGTTTCTTGGTGTTTTAGTATGTTAACATTATAACAGTGTCTGTTTAGCAGATTATAATCCTAGTCTTGTATTGGCAAGGCAACTTCACGGGACAGGAAAAAAATGGGATGTGTACAAAAGACATTCTAAGTTAACAAAATTCTAGTATTTGTGTTGACTACAGTTCTTCTTCTTCCTGTGAGCATATGTTTGAAATATGATCACTTTCTGCAGGATGATTGAACAAAGATTTCTCCAGTCCACATAACACAACTGATTATATAACATATATAGAACAACAACCATGAACAGAACCTTCATTAATTATATACAAAAATAGTCTCATACAACTAAACATATAACAGTACAACTGAACATAGAAGCTAAACATATAACAGTACAACTGAAGCTAGCTAAACATATAACAGTACAACTGAACATAGAACGAACCGAGCTAGCTGGCTAATCAAATTGGCATCTCAGAACGGCACAGTGGACAAAAGTGGCTAGTCTTTAGCCACTGGACGATGCAATCTCCATGATAGACATGAGAGCACGGCAAGCGAGTGATCAACTCATCATCCGAAAACTTCTCCAAACACACCGTGCATTGATCAATGGTACAAACTGTAAGATCAAGTACCGTCTTCTCTAAGGCATCAATAAATGTTTGGCTTGCGGGTACCAGCTGCGACGCCACATAGGCCTCCGTTGAGTCCTCAATAGCCATCGACTCCTCCATATCGTCGGACTCAACCTCGTCTCCCTCCATAGTCTGGATGGCTACAGAAAGGATAACTCTGGGTATGGCGGTACGGGGAATACCACTTCTGTCATCGGTCAAGACACGAGAGAGATCAAGGAGATCACCGAACATAACGTCATCTAGGGTTACTCCCTGGTCACAGAGACAACGATGGAAGAATGAGTATGCCATGTCATCAAATTCTAGCACATTCGACGGAATCAAGTAGCAATATCGGTAGTGATGAGTCTGTTCTACTTCGTAATTGGTATACATTGTATAGCGATCCACATATACTTTGAGGACAAAAAAATCAGAAGAGGGTGACAATTGGAATGGCAGTCTATCAAGTTCAGCAACATCTGTTTTTAGTTCCCATATTTGACTTGGGGTTGCCATCTTCAAAACCACAAGCAAGAGAAGCCTCTATATATTCCAATGCCGCTTGTCAAGACGATGACGACAGTGCAAATAAACAAATGTTCTTGAACAAGAACGCCGAGTCGGCGAAGCTAGCAGTGTTTCTGTCTCCTTGAATTCGTGCTTTTCTATGCGAGAATACTCAGAGTTCCGATTCCGATCCTTTTTCTTCAAGGCTACGCACCATCGTAAGAGAGTGGTGGGGGTGGAGTCGTACGTGGAGAGAGAGGAGAAAAGGGGTGGGGCGGCGGTGGTGGCGACGGTAAGAGGTGGGGGTGGAGTCGTGGAGAGAGAATGAGAGAAGGGGTGGGGCGGCGGCGGCGGCGATGGTAAGTGGTGGGGGTGGAGTCGTGGAGAGAGAAGGAGAGAAGTGGTGGGGCGGCGGTGGTGGCGATGATGGGTGGTGTTGGAACGGCAAGAGGAGGAAGAGAGAGCACGGAGAGATCTCTTACGACGACGACAGTGCAAATAAATTCTTGAACAAGACCGCCGAGTCGGCGAAGCTAGCAGTGTTTCTATCTCCGAATTCGATTGAATTCGTGCTTTTCTATACGAGAATACTCAATTTGGCAGCGAGAAGGCTACGCATCGCGGTTTATATATGTAAAATCTTGGAGGCGGTTTCTACCTTACTTGGGGACCAAGTGTGTAGATATGTTTATATATATATATATATATATATATATATAGATACCTATATGTATGCCTGTTATTTTTGATGTGCGATCTTTTGTTTGCACTAATGCTTCGTTTAATTCGACTTAAAATATTTTTTTGAAAAGTATTTTTTTTTAAGTAAAATATTTTTTTTATTTTTACTTTGTCAATTTTTGTCAAAGTTTACGTCGAGTTATTTTTGTTAAATTTTAATATTTTTACAACAACCAAACATCAGAAAATAATATCCAAACATATAGAGTGTCTTTAAAGAGTACTATTAGAGAAATCATTTTTTTGGATTTGAGTGCTTTCTCGTGAATTTTTCTAATTTGATCTTTAATATTGTTATTTTGCTCCAAGTTCAAGAGTTTATTGGATTGATAATGGTCTTGCCCGTAACCGTTGAGAATCTCTATTCTGATTGTGATTTATGGATGATGGCTATGCTGGTTAAAGTGAATTCTTTTGTGCAATGTAGGCTTAGCTTTCATAACATTTAGGGAAAATGTTCTTTATAACCTTTTAAATTAAATTTAGGCTTTCTTTGGTAAAGAGAAGGCATGACATTTCCAAAAATAAATAGTGTGGCCATGAAAAATATGCTTATTCAAATATAATTAAGATGATTTTTGACACACTAGTTTGAAAGCCTGTTACTTGGTTGTCCTATTGTTCAAATGTATCTTCTGTTTGCATTTCAGTGTCTTTACATCACTCTTTAGAGAAATCATTTTCTTGGACTCAAGTGCTTTAATTGTTTTACTTTGCACTTTCTCTTGAATTTTTATGTCTTGATCTTTGATGATGTGTTTTTATTCCCTCAGAGTTGGATCTACGAGTCTAAAGTGTTTCATCTGCGTAATTTAGGCATAGCTTTCTTACCATTTTATGGAGGAATGCATCCGTTGATGGTTTGATTGTTCCAGTTATTGAAAGGTAATCTCAATTTCCCTCTCTCGTCCAAAAGGAAAGTGGAGGGAAAAGAATTACATGAAAGAGTGGCAAAGTCAGAAATCAAATTGTTATCTGGGCATGCTAGAAATTGAACTTTTAGTCCTCAAGTTTGTTACTAGTTAATTATCTGCTAATTATCTAGCTCTAAGAATGTTATTTTATGATATTTAGAAAGTTGCAACTATAAGAGAGCAATTTTTTTCTTTTCTTTTTTCATTTTTTTCTTTTCTTTTTTCATTTTCTTTTTCCCTTGTAAGCAACTAAAAAGCACATACTTCAATGAAGATGGGAATTTTACTTGGTCCACCTAAGCTACATTCATGCTCTGGTTCTTCCTTTACTTGGAAACCCAAGGGAAGGGATTCAAACCAGAGCCAGGAAGAAACTCAGTGAAATTGCACAGGAAGAAGATAAAGAATACTCTCTTCAATTGAGCCTAAGAGTTATTCAGAAGCAAAGCATGACACAGATTGGATTGCAGCTATGAAAGATAACCCACAGCCTTTTAGTGCATTCAAAATATCTAGCTTACTCCACTGATCTGGCGGACAATAAAAAGGGTTAGCCAGTGCCTGAGGCTCCCGTCATTGCTCAAGAGGGTTAGACATACACAACCTTACCTACACATAGGCTATTTTCGGTTTCGAACCAGTGACCTCGAGGTCACAATGGATAGCCCTGTATTTACGACACCAGCCTTTGCATTTAAGTTATAACATCTAATTTTACATGGAACTGATGAGTACATGTGTAAACGGGAATCTAACAGCCAATTATGCCAAAATACATATCCAGTTCATCCCTCTGTACAAAAACAACCAATTCTTCTATTTCCACAGTAGCAGAAGGCTAATGAAAAAAATATATATATATCCATTCTCAAGGTCCAAGATTGCACCTTTTCTGTGACACGAGACACATTGTATTATCAAAATAGTAAGAATGCACTGGTATACTTGTGTTAAGAAGCCAATACACACACATACACACCTCCTATAAGAGTATAAATAACCTTCTTAAATGAACAAAGTACAGTACATCTTGCAAAACGTATCAAAGACAATTTCTAAAAAACCAGAGAAAAGAAGTTCAACAATGACTTCCCGAAGATGTTACTAAAATCATATAACTATGTCTTACCAGTTTAAAAAAGAAGCTCATAACACGGCAAGTGTACTAACGCAAGGGCAATGGTGGACCAACTGATTGCAGCCGTTGCAACCAGGCAACCCTCACGCTAGGCTTCTTCAATTGAAGGAAAATCTCCCTGTATTCCTTCTTCAGGAATATATCTAATGCAAACAAGTACAGGTCACTCCCTGGTTCTACTTCCTCCAACCCATCTAAGCACTCAATGCATTCCCCAATGCTATAGTTGAGTTTGCCCAGCGAAGATTGAACTGTCACAACACTCCTTGATTCGGCTGCCTCACAAACACGCTCAGTTCTGATATCAGGCCTTGAGACTCCTGGTCCTGGCTCTTTCGTATGCAAAAGGGAGGTAGTCGAATCACCTGGTCCTGGCTCTTTTGTATGCAAAAGGGAGGTAGTTGAATCATCACTGAGCCTCCTGCGCTGAGGAGGAGGTTCTGTTTCTCCGCTAACTATTCTTCCATCAAAGATGGTCTCTAATTTGTCAGTAAAAGGAAGTTCTTTAAACCTAAATTGTGCCGCTCCAGCGTTAGCCTGTAACAAACTCATTATTCTGTCACTAAGTTGGAAATCAAGCACAACCTTCTTATGTTTTTCAAATTTAATACCATTTACCCGAGTTAAATTTATTAAAATACCTGTAGATAGTTGGCCCAGTCTTCTTCACTCGCACCAAACTTGCGATTGATTGGATCCCATTTCATTCTGTCAGTGTCAATCAGCTTACACCAGCACTTCCATTGTTCCTTAGTAGAATCCCAGTGATTCTTCAATTGTTTCCTTTCATACCTCAAACCCGATTTTTTTTTGAATGATTCTTCTATATTCCTCCAACCCTCCTTTGTAAAGTGTGTCCCAGGTTTATTTCCTTTCAATGTCTGTTCAAGACATACATCTACAAACACTTTGTGGATCTCAAGTGTCCAAGCAGCTTTTTTTGGCTTCAGCATTGATGTGACCGAATTCCTCTGTTCATTTGCCATTTGTATGTTGTTTCACGCAAGGGCAGGAACCTAATAATTAGAACATAAACTCCTCAAACACAGCGTTTTTATTTTTTTTTTAATATAACCAATCTAAGACTAACTGATTTCCATTGAGCACAAATGAAGAGGAGCGGGGTATGAGAACAGTTATAGAGGGACAACTCCAAGAAAAACTATGCGCAAAAACTATAAATCCATTTCAACAAATTCGAACCAGACATGTTCAAGTATTTGTTCTTCAGCTATAACATAATAGTTGAGGGTAAAACTAGGGGAAGAGGAAAACCAAAGTTAACGTGGGTAGAGTTAGTAAGAAAGATAAGATAACTTATGAATTGACTGAGGTTATGGCCTTAAATAGCGCAGAATGGATACATAGGATTCATGTAGCCAACCCCAAATAATTGGAAAAAGGCTTGGTGGTTGTTGTTGTTGTTGGTAGTTATAACATAATAGTTCACTTGATTGCTGAGAAAAACTAGGAAAATAAAAGAAAATAACCAATATTTTGCCTGTATTTCAGGAAATGAAAAATCCATACCAACCAAACCAAATAGCTGTATTAAGCCAGGTTTGGGCAGATTTTGATTTCATAGTCCCAAAAATGTAGTTCTAGCTTCAAAGATATGAGTTTTAAACAACTTTTTATCCGCAATAAAAAGTAGCTTCAAGGATTCTTCTTTTTATTTTCAAATTCCAATGCAGTAACCAAAATGTACAGTAATGATATAAATATATATATACACATATTTATGTGCATAAATAATTATCTATTTTCTTACAAAAGCTAGAACTACCAGATTCCACTAGTAAAAGTCCAGAACGATTCATGCCCATATAATTAATGGGTATAAAATAAAAAATAAAAAATAATAATAATAAATAATAATAAAAACTCATATAACTTTTCCGAGATGGGGTCTTTTAATCAACCAAAAATCTTAACGTAATTAAACAATAAATCCAATTATAAGGAAATTGTGGACAAACTAAATTTTATAGCAATGCAAGCACTCCAAATTTGTAGACGAAAATTAGATGGCCTAGTTATGAAGTGAAACAACAGAGAAGAATATCGATTCTGACCAAATTAATGAAATTCACCAGAAATAATAGTAAACTACGCATGTGTGTACACACAAAATCAATTGCAATATTGATTAATTGAGAAGTATGTATATATATACGCACGCACGCACACAATTTACCATAATAACCAGAAGGGCGAAAGCAGAAGAGTCCGCCAAGGAGATTCTTCAAATAAAGATGAAGGGCCTTCACTCGATTTATTTTCTCACGAGGAGAAACGAAGCTTTCACACACACACACACACACACACACACACACACCCCACACACAGAGATAGAGAGAGAGAGAGAGAGAGAGAGAGAGAAGGAGAGAGAGACTTCATGACTCATGAGCCATTGTGGTTCTAACAAATTGACTACATGGGCCAGGTATGAGTTGGGCCGGACTTGATAAAGATGAGAAGTTGAAGTAGAGGCCTGAAATGATTACTGGGCTGGTCCAACCCAATTGACCTGCATCCAAACCCATTGTCCTCCAACCCTTTATTGTCTCCCAAATATTTTCTTGTGTATTTCGGAATTAAATTTATAGTGACCAAAAATATATATGTACATATAAAAGACATTTTTATTTATTTTATTTTTGGTATAGTAGTGTCGGGCCTTTTAATACGTCTCATAATCTACCACTGAGTACATGTAGTCTCCTTATTCCACATGCACATGGCAATTATTAAGTTAATTCCCTACTTATTCTATGACAATGAATAACTTAAGAAAGAATAATTCAAATTGACCAAATTATCCCTTAGGGATATTTTTTTTTTTTTTTTTTATTCCGGCAAATTAGGGGGATAGGGGATTCAAACACGGGCACACCCACTCAAGGAATTAGATACTCTACTAACTAGGCCACTAAATAATATCTTAATCCCCCGAGGACATCCAAGTTGCCATCCTCCAACGTGCAAATTAGGAGGTTTGACCCTACGGCCCTACCATTTGAATCCTTATACAAAAAAATGAAAACATAAAAAAGTTCTTATACGAAACTCATAAAGTTATCATTTTTGTTTTAATTGTTTGGACTCAGTTACAAAATCACCATTTTACTCTATCCTTAACTTCAATCAAATAATATATTGTCATATCTTTTCTTACTATTTAATAACCTATGCTAGTTTTGATCTTCTTCTTTTTAAAGTTATTCTCATTGGTGAACAATGCAATAAATTATATAACCCGATTAATAGAGCACCTCCATTGAAAAAGCTAAACAAATCCCTTAAAAATGGTTAATCCATGCTCAGCACACTGCAAACATCTATGAAAGGAACAATCCGTATTCAATCCACTTACTTGAAGAACCACACAAGTTAAAGTTCCGACTTCACACTCCTTGCAAGCTCCCCTCTCTAACTCCCACTCTATGCGATTTAAATTTTGCTCGCTTTTGTACTCCCATTCTCAAATTGTCTCCCGGTCCGTGTGACAGTCTCACATAATGTTGTTTTGCCCTTGTCACTTGTTCCATAAATAGACAATAGCCTGCCTGAAAATACATACATACTGCTTTTTTCCTACTTTTGGCACCAAAACTTACCTTCTACATAAATCAAATTTGAAGACAAAAACCACCATAATTTGAATTCTCACTAGCCAAAAACTACATGCCCATGTCAACCTATCATTTTAACTAGAACTCAAACTCATGACTCCACATTTCTGATTTCACTCACAGTCTCATTCCATAATTTGCAAATCACCTCACCACCTTCAACAGAATCAACTTTTTATTGAAATAACACCATTCAAATTGAACCAAGTTAAGATTGAATCATTCAAATTGAATCTTACCCATCACATAAATTAAATTTTTGCAGACAAAAAGCACCATTCTTTGAATTTTCACTACCCAAAATCAAATGTTCACGTCAATATGTCATCATTCCATGACTCTTAACTAGAAATCAAATTTGCAACTACATTTTCCCACACAGCATCAATCATCATATACATTTCACTAGAATTTTCATTTCATCCAAACAAAAAATGGTGAAACACAATTTCAAAAGGAAAGACCTTCAATCACAGAATCAACACTTCATTGAAATCTCATTCATTAATTCAATGAATGTACATCACTACCATTACCAAATGTTCACAGAATTTATTCCCTCCCTAAATGAATCAAAATCTCACTGTAAATGTACATCAAAACCTGAAATCATATGCTAACAGTGATGAGAATCAATCTCTACCAAAAAAGCAGAACACTAGCAAGCATCAAGAAAAGCCCAAGTGCCATCTTCCCCAAACCTCCACCAACCCGAATCGAACCCGAAAGCCCGATTGCATACTTCTGGGTCATGTTTGGAAACAGAATCCCCCAATTGTGACCCCCTGTTTCGCTCCCCTGCTTTTCTTCTGTGTCAAACAGCTCATATATGTAAGTCTGCGCCACTCCTTCCTTCCTCAGCGGCGTGCCAAGTCCCGATTTCAGATGATTAACCAGACCCTTAATGTACATCTCGGCGAAAACTGGGTTCGCGTCGGCTTCGTTCCGTTCGCCTGAGCTCGGCCACCCTGTTTCAGTCACGATCACGGGAATGTTCTCGTGACCCGCCACTGCCATTGCGCAGATCACGGCGTCGACCATCATGTCGAACAGGTTCCGGTACCGGACTCCGGTCATGAAGTCGTCGCGAAAATTGAAGGGGTGTTCCTGGAACAGAGGATACCCAACTGGGATTTCGGAGCTGAGCCTGTAGACATTGTAGGGGTAGAGATTGATCAAGAAAGACGAATTGGTCTCGTCCAAGAACTGGAGGAGGGGTTTGATGATGAGTCCCGAGATGGGTTCTTGGAACTCGGCGGAGGAGGGCGGGAAAGAGTTCGACATGACGTTGATGAAGGTGAAGGTGGTGGAGACGGCGATCTTGTTGATGCCGAGGTCGCGGAGGGAGAGGTGGAGGTTGCGGACGGCGGGGAGGAGGCTGTCGGAGAGGTCGACTGGGGTGTCGAGGACATCGGTGCCGACAGAGATGGTGGAGATTCGGGCGCGGGGGTAGAAAGGGACGACGTGGGTGTAGAGCCAGAGGGCGGCGGCGGAGCGGTTGGCTGCGAAGGAACCGACGAGGTTGTTGGGGACGGAGAGGAGGAGGGAGATGTTGGAGTAGGAGAAGGCGCGCACCACCGCGGGGGTGGGGTCGGGGAGGCGGACGGAGGTGATTTTAAGGGCTTGGAGGGCGGAGGCAACCCGCTCGGGTGGAGGGTGAGCGGTTGCGATGTAATTGACACCGATGGTGGCCGGAAGCGATGCGGTTCCGGCGATGAGTAGAGAGAGAAAGAGGAGGGAGATGAAGGTGGAGTTCTTGAGAGAGAGAGACATGCTGCTGTGCAGTTCTTGAGTGTGAGAGAGAGGAAAGAGAATGGGAGTGGTATGTTATACGAGTTGTGTGATGTGTACTGCGCACTCTGCGTATGTTAACTGGAGATGGGTGGCTGATTACAGTTATGGCAGTTAGAAGGAGGAGAGGTGAGGTAATAATCTGGTGCTACTGGATGCAGGAAATCTCTGTAGCTTGGTACTTGCTAGAGGATTCCACGTAACTAAAAGTGGGGATGGAGTGGTCATTACATTCAAAATGAGGGGTCAAAGACGGAAATAAATTTTCCATATTACCATTCCATATAACAAAATGTTAGAAATTATACTGTAGCAGTACTGAGTGGACTATTTTGCCCCCAATTGGAAACCTAGAGAGTTGATATTCTACGACGTGTAATCCACGTGATGGCCGGAGAAGAAAGTTCCGTTTGTTGCATAATGTAACAAGTGCATCCAAATTATTCGTGTAATAATACACACACTAATGTCTATATTACACGCGCGTCGTGCGAGTGATGTAAAATTGAATATTCCTATTACACAATTCAACAGTCGCAAAGAAATTTTTTTAATATATATATATATATATATATATATATATATATTTGTTGACAATTGTGGTGTTCGGAGTAGCTTGTTCGTACCTCGACTAATCCCGACTTTCAATACATTCAATGTATTTGACAACTTTAATTCAAGTATTTTTCTGAATTTCCATACTTCCATTAGGGCTCAGTTCTTTGTTTTTGGAAGACCGGTCATTTTCCTCATTAGTATTAAGAATGAGCATTTTGAAAAGAGTGAGGCAGAAATATAAAGAGTGAGGCAGAAATATAACGCACCAAATGCCAACGTGGATGGGCTAACTGAGTAACGGTTTAACATTGAGCTCAGTGGTTGGTCATGACACCTTGGACAGTAATGGGGGTTAACAAGAGTTTGAACATTTATCCAAAATCCCATAATCGCTCAAAATTTTACATATTTACACTATTCTTTAAGTAGGACAGTGGTGAGGTGTTGCACTAAGTCACAGAAAACGTAAGCGAGTGAGAGATCGGAAGTGCGAATGTAACATAATTTAAGTTATACACAGTGAAAGTTAGGGCAGGACTTAGTCACTTAGATACTCGCATAACACTTGAAAGGAAAGGTGAGTTCTTGCCACCATTGATCAAATACAAACAGTAGTAAGAAATTAGACGATTAGGCATAGAGAATTTCAGACGCTTCTATATTTATCATTGAACAACCTGCATCCCATTTTCTCACCGGAAATGGTGTACTGATAACCACCATTAACGGTTATTTACCCGTTAATTGTGGTTTTTAGTTGGTTCATTAGATTGGGCTGGTTTATGGCTTGGTCTTGCCTATTTTGGGCTTTGTTTCCCATTAAGTTGGGCTGGTTTCTGGCCTAAGGCCTTCCTTGTAATTATCTTTTATTTATATTCAGTTGCTTAAAATTCCCAAAAAAAAAAAAAAAAAAAAAAAAAAAAAAAAAAAAAAAAAGCCACTAAACTGCAGCCCATTTCACTGTCTTGGTTCAAATTGTTCCCACCACACTTATCTGTTAAAGAATCACACCCAAGAAGAGTAAAACACGGAGAATAACATTAGATTGATGCAATAAAAAGCCAAATAGAGCAATATGAGTCTAGGAAGCACAAATACAAATGCGTGATATGAATATAATATGATACGGCTATTGCAATACAATAATTCTATAAAAAAACAAGATACACCATTGTTCATAGAATAAGAAGGAACAAACTATTTCAGAAGTGCCGGATCCAACTCAAATTCAAATTGCTGCTGAGAAATAGAAAATTCATTTTAAAATTATGAATGTGTTTAGGAAGTATTGATTACATATTCGTAAGTATTTAAGGTGTGTCAATACTAAATACAGATACGTCACTCATATTGGAGTATCCATACTTTCGTAGCTTAGATGTATCCGAAAAGTATTGGATACAAGTGATAAATATAAAATATATTTTAGAATTATGAATACGTTTAAAAAATATTGAACACTTTGCAAGTATCCGAGAAGTGATAGTATCCGGACATGATACACCTAAGTCACTCAAGTAAAAACATTTGTGCTTGAGAAGTATCAGATATGCGTGAGAAACAAAATATATATATATATATATATATATATATATATATTTTTAAATTATGCATACATTTAGAAAGTATCGAACACGTATTCATGAGTATCCGAAAATGTTAATATCTGATACAAACATGATACGAGTACGTTACTCATGTAAAAGCATTCATGCTTTGTAGTTGATAAATATCTGAGCAATATCAGACATGTATGAGAAATAAAAAATATATTTTAAAATTATGAATATATTTAAGAATTGAATACCGTGAATAAATATTCAAAAAAATGTTGGTATTCGATACAAGTACTTCACCCCGTTGAAATATTCATACTTCTTAGCTGCATGAGTTCGTTCACTACGACGTCCAATAACATGAGTTTCTCCATATCCAATTTAAAGTCGCCAACTGAAGGCTCCAAAGTAAAACATAAAAGATTTGTACCAATAATTGTTGATGCACGCCAAAGATAAAACTAGTCTTACCACCATATGACTCACATCAAATAAAATAAATAATAATCACTGTGGAGTCTTTTATTATGTACAAGACTTTAGGGACCACCTTAATTATCGTAAGAAGGAGCTAACTTGGATTTGAGAGAAAAATATAAAAAATCAAACAAACAAACCAATGTTAGATAGTAACAATGGGATAAATCTGCTTATGTGTACATCCAATGAAAAGTAAGAATTGGTACAAAAAAATAATAATAATAATAAAAAAGACATAATATTTATTGCTGGATCAGTAAATATTATAAATGGAGCTAAAAAGTTTTGCCTCTTGCAGCATAACAAGTATATATGTTGTGTGTGTGTGTGTATGGTTTTTTTTTTTCTTTTTTTTCTTTTTTTTTCGGTAATTTTTATTTTCAAATGAGTTATATTGTGTTTGGGAAACACCAAATCAACACTTTAAACTTAAAATTCAAAAAAAAAAAAAAAAGAAAAAAAGAAAAAGTTTAAGATATGCAATTACAAAAGGTAACATTTAAACATATGGCCACAATTTGCAGTAGATGCAGTCCACTCTAAAGATTAGAATTTTCTTTGTCATGCCAACAAGTAATCCAAATACGTGGTAGACAAATGATTTTGTTTCAATTTATTTATTTATTTATGTTTCGAAGTTCCATAATTTAATTTTTCAATTTCTAATTGATCCTTAGATGCAAATCACCAGAAAGCGAATAAATCGTCTTAATAAATTTTCTCTTATTTTTTTAGTTTTAATTGGTGCAAGCAAAATAAAATTTAACAAAATTTGTGTAAATCAGCTTGAAAAAATTCCTCATCATTTGGAAGATTGAACCACACAGGTCCATAATGTGAGAGTGATCATAGTTGCACACCCACCAAAATGCTTTTTATTTCTACCCTCATCAATAAATGGCCCTCCTCATCATCATCCATCATGGACTGCATGCAAGCACCTGCAATGGCATTCTCATGCAATATTACTGATGTATATATATACACACACATGCACATGCATAGACAGTACATATATATACATATACACGAGAATAGTGTATGTATATGCCCTTGGCATACGTATATACAAACTAATATATATGAACATATAAGTGCACATATATAATTTGTATGCATATGGTCATATGCATTTACTTACACACACACCTATATTACCTATGGTATTTAATTAGGTTAGGTCAACAGAACATGTTTATGTTCATATTTATGTACATGTTTTTATATGTATTTAATACTATTTACTATTTATATTGTCACTACTAATAAATTATTTTCATAAATTTATACCAAACATAGAAGAAGAATTAATGCAAAGTAACACAAGAATACATCTATGCCCCTTCCTTGAGCTCAAATTTATTACTTCATATATTATATTATATCAAACTATTTTAGTAATAAATCGTAAGATTGTAATATCAATTTGCTTAATTAGAAGAATAATTTATATTTTATAATTATTTCATTGCTCATTATCATTTTATTATTTTCGTTTTCAACTAGGACATTAAATAATGGTAGCAACTAATAAAAACTAAATTTCACCTGATCTTTACACAACTCAGCTTTGGTTGAATTAACCAGTTTTGAGAGGGTCACCAATGAAATGATCCAAATTTAGTTGAGCCTTATATTAACTCTGTTGGGGTTGAATTTGTGAATTTGAATTGTTATAATTTTAAAAAATTTGGACTTGATTCGGTCAATAAAACTAATAAAATTTATTCTCAAGTTAGTTATTCACGCTTGATTTGAATTTGTTCACATTAATATCAATAAACATTTTTAACTAGTATTTTTTATTAGTGTACGTATAAAACTTAAACACTTTGGTACAAATCTCTTCCATAAAACATGCACTAAATATATCATATAGTCTCGTGAGATAAGCTTTGCACTAAAAAATAAATAAAAGTTTGTACCATAATATTTTTTATTACAATAAAGCATTAAGTAAAAATACAAAAAGATATTCCTAAAAGGGGAAAACTAATAAGATAAATTTTACTTTACCAACAAAAATTATATTTCATTTAAAAAGAAAAGCCGCGTATTGATTGATTTGATCCGTTAGGTAGGTCGAAATGGAGCCAATGCGTTTCCAGCACAGATATTTATGTCGTCTCTTTCTCTCTCTACATCATCACACACTTCGCTGCATCCCATCCTTTCTCTCTCTAAATCTCTCTCTCTCCTCTTGCAATAAAAGCCTCTCGATTCTCGGCGTTTAAATCCACCATTTCGAATATGTGTTAGTCTAAAATTCGATCTCATTCTTGGCTTTGATCGAGAATTTTCATCTCCAAGAAGCTAGCAGATCAGCGATTTCTGAACTTCTAAAGGTATGCATATTTGACCGAACATTTGTGTAAGCAAATCATCACCTGTGAAATCAGATCTCCAGTATTGTATACTTATATCGTAATTTGAGGTTCAACGTGTTCTGATTAGCTCTGAAAGAGCTTTGACCTCAGTTACACGCGCTTCAAATCGGTTATTTTAGGTATATATATATATATATATACACACGCGCGCGCGCAATTTGGGATAAGCTGAAGCTAACTATTTTGGTTTGATTTTTGTTGGTGTGATTCAATTTTCAAGATTATTTGAGAAGCAAAGCTTATCAGTAAAAGCTAGGGGACGAATTGTTTGTGGAATTAGGGATTATTTATATAGATTCAGATCTAAAGCATAACTATGTCTTTCACCGGCACTCAGCAAAAGTGCAAGGCTTGTGAGAAGACAGTTTATCCAGTAGAGCTGTTGTCTGCCGATGGAGTTGATTATCACAAGTCATGTTTCAGGTGCTCTCACTGCAAAGGAACGCTCAAGGTATATACCTACAGTCACAATCTGCTGCTTTATTGTCCTTTCTTTTATCCCCATAGTTTTGATTGTCGTTAACATGCCTAATTTTCGGGTACATGTTTGATTAAGAAAAAATGCTAGGATTTAGTGATCTGTCAAGAAATATTACCATTAATGATAATGTATGCAATCGTTTTGGTGGGTAGGGAACCAAAATGGTAACTTTTGCATGGGTAATAAATGCAGGTAACTAGATCAGCTTATTAAGCAATTCTGGTTCATACTATTAACCCATGTTGCATTATCAAAGATAACCAGCCTGTGAGATTTGGATCAATGCCTATGATATCTACTAATTTACCTGCTAAATTTGTTTTCAGCTGAGCAATTACTCTTCGATGGAAGGTGTCTTGTACTGTAAGCCTCATTTTGAGCAGCTCTTCAAGGAGAGTGGGAATTTCAACAAGAACTTTCAGTCACGTATGCTTTCCAATTGTGCCATATAAATTGCACTATTTGATTTTCAAGCACATTTTTTTTTTTCTTTCTCTTATGTGTGATTCCCATTGCGTTTCATTTTCAACAGCTGCAAAGTCGGCTGAGAAGTTAACTCCAGAGATGGTAAAATTTCCTTACTACTACTGCATAACGTGCAATCAAAAAGTGCATTGTTTTGCTTAAGCTACATAATATGTTGCCTTGTGGTGTCACTGATTATTACTACTACCTTGTGTGGGTTTCAGACAAGATCACCAAGTAAAGCTGCCAGCATGTTTTCTGGGACACAAGAAAAATGTGCAACGTGTGGTAAAACGGCGTATCCACTGGAGAAGGTAGGACTAAATTCTCTTGGAAAAGGCACTTCATTTAGATATTTTGTCCAGAAAGAGAATGAGATTTATCTTCAGTTGCAACCTTTGGTAACTTTCCGTTTATCATTTCGATCTTATTCCACTTCCTAACCTGGTGGAATTGTTGGTTTATTAGATACTTTTTAATGTTTTATATTAGGGGGATGAAGGGCACTGCATGTTAAAGTTCCATTGAAATTTTAGTGGAAGTATTTGGAGTCCCAACTGACTGACAGAAATCTGGTTTCATTATTTCCTTTTATTTGTACATTTTTGTCCCAAATTCCTTGTGATAAGTTGCAGACTTAATCAACTACACAGAATGCATAAAATATCCGGACCAAATTCCATGATACCATTTTCTTCCATTTTCCTTGTAATTCAGAAACATCTTATTTTATTTTATTTTTAATTTTTTATAATAAATTTCTGAAATCACAAAGCAAACTAACAGCCCAACTTGGTCAATTCCTGGAATTTATTTTTTTGTCCTTATTCTCACATGAAACACACAAGGTCTTAACTGAAATAGAAAGCATCGAATATGTTTTCACAATATGCTAAAACTCTAATTGTGATTAAGAAGGAATTCAAAATGCATACAACTCTTTTGTGTAATTGAATATCTGAGATGGATCCTATGCTATCACCTCGTCATGATATCTAGACTTGATTACCTTTTTGGATTATGAAAGATTTAGGTGACATGGCTAGGAGACTGTGTTACTAAAACAGCTTGAGCGACTGTACCATAAGGCTGTATCAGAATAGTTGTGTACCCTCCTTTAAGATCTTGCCTCATCTGAGGCTCTCAATAATTGCTCATAATGGTTTTGTATTTAAAGATAGGTATCAAAACGGAAAACAGATACGACACAGAATTTTCTCTCTTAACCCGGGGGAACGTGATTTGTTTATTTTATCGGTTCTTTTTTTCCATTTCTTATATAGTTTTAATGATGCGTGTAAAAAGGTTCAAACTTCAAACATTTAGTCACTAATTTAGAATGTCACCCTTAAACATGAACAAAATTTTGTTAATTTGATGATTAATCAATATTTGGAGTAAATGTCAAGGTAATTTTCTTTTTATTTGGGCAAGATATCCATCCTCTTTCTGGAATCTGTCACTTAAGGTTCAACTTTTTAATTTATGCTCTTCTATTCCCTGCACTGTTTTGTTGGCACTTTTTTCAAAGGTAATTTTTATCTATAGCTCTTTGAATGTGTATCTTTTCTCATTCTTTTCCTTTTTCACAGTAAATTTGTTACACATGTATTTATATTAATGCTATTAGCGCCAATAATGGAATCCGTTGTTATTAAATGTACATGAATGGCCACTTAGGTGTCCAAGAAATCAGTAGGGCCATTATTTAAATTCACTTATGTGTTACAATAAGTCTCTTTGCAAAATAGCTAGTGGCATTGGAACAAAAGTGGCATCTGACGGAATAAGAAATGAGTCAGAGCCTGCTGATACTCTTGATTTGAGCTGACTCACATTGGGTTTCCTAAATGTGGTATATTGGCAATTGTTATTCAGAGGATCCAGGGAATAAATACTTGGCAGATGCTGCCATGCATAGAGCTTTTCTCTCACGCAAGCGTAGAATTGAAAATGCATAAGCTAAAGTTCAGTTCCAACAAAGACTGATAGGGTAAAGTTCAGTTCCAACAAAGACTGACAGACCAAATCCTATTAAGGATGTGCTTGGAGTAGGAATGGTCTTTATTATGATTGCTAGTCTTGGGTATTCCAGCTCAGGTTTTCATGTTATTGAATGGACATTGAGGGAGAAATTAAAGGAGATTTGGCCCATGAAATCACAACTTCTGGCAGAATTGAGTGCAATTGAAGAGTACGAATGCCTGATGAATTACATACGAAAGGGAGATTTTAGTAGATAATATATAAAGACTGCTGGTGCTCTTTAACGAAAGGTAATTGGCAACATGTTCATAGATTTAGCTTGAAGTTGAGATGGGGTTTGTAAGGATGGATGAATCAGAAAACTGGAAAGCATGAAACTAGAAATGTAGTTGAACTCTAATCTGTGATATATTTGGGATCATGTGCAAAGTAAGGCATAAAAGGCTAGGGTAAACCAGGTTGTGCGGTAAGGCAAATGTGTACATGTATGTGTGTATGTGAATGTGAATGTGAGTGCTTACATGACTCTATACCTACTGGCACGCATATGTGGAAATTTGCCAATATGTGCGACTAAGGGAAAAAACTAGATTCCCATAGCTTCCCATCTTAAACCTTATATAGTATCTCTTTCCCTATTTTTGCCTCTTTCTTCTGACTTGGGTTTTCATTCTCTTTAAATTGTTTCGAAGTTTTTATCTTTCAAACAGTCTTGCTAGGGAGTTTAGTTTAGATGTGTTTAAGAGGTTTACATGAAGCTTTTAACCTCTGTTTCAATCTATTTTAGACTCACAATAGTTTTAATCAGTTGCTGATAGATTTGATTGGTTATCAGCTTCACATTTAATTTTTGTCTGAAACATAACAAGAATTGATATTTGGGTTCTTACAGTTTTTCACACACACACATATATATTATTGGTTTTGGTGCTAGGGAGTTCAGTTTAGACGTGTTTAAAAAATCACTGGAAGCTTGTAACCCGTGTTTCATGCTGTTTTAGAATACAATATTTGTCATCACTTGCTGATAAATAGCTGCACAGGTGGTTAATTTTTGTAAAAAAACATAGCAAGAATTGATATTTGGGTTAAAGTTTGTTGAATTGAGTTTCTGAAATGCGTGCTCTCTTAACAGCTAGCAAAGAAAGTCTTAAAACTGTCATAGATTCTTAAATAAGCCACTGGGTTCCTCTTGTTTCATATATTTTAAGGCAAAATGCTAGTTCTGTTGCTGCTGAAGAATCTTAAATTTTGTTATACCTGTGTTTTATGTGGTTAATATATACGGCATTTTTATTTGCATAGAGATGAAGATCTCAGAGCTCATAGGTGCATTAATAACACATGTATGTGTATGTGTTTATGTATTAATGAAAGGTCATAGTATTTACTCTCTAGCTCACCAATTTATAATAATTGGCTGTGGGAGTCACCATTACATCCACACTGCCACTGTGAAAGCAGGAAAATGTTAATAATATTTTCATTGCTCGGTCCAGCATTATTGTTGCCTGAATGCTCTAGATTAGATCATTTTTCATATATATCAGACTTTTCTGTTCTTTAAGCTTCTGAATGCTCTAGATTAGATCATTTTTCATGTATATCAGACTTTTCTGTTCTTTAAGCTTCTTACAGAAGTGTTCACGGGCTATTGTCTTCTTCTTTTTTGGTTATATTGTTGCTATAGTGATTATGTATGGGTCTTATATGAAAAATTTCAGGTGACGGTGGAGAGCCAGAGCTATCACAAGTCATGTTTCAAGTGCTCTCATGGTGGCTGTTCTATAACTCCGTCAAACTATGCAGCCCTCGAGGGAATTTTGTACTGTAAACATCATTTCTCCCAGCTTTTCAAGGAGAAAGGGAGCTACAATCATCTTCTCAAGTCTGCATCAGTGAAGCGCCCAACGGCCTCTGTTCCAGAAGCATGAGATTCCATATCCTTATTTATTATCTATCTACAAGTGTTTGATTTGCTTGTGTGTGTTTTCCTTCAGATTTCTCTTTTGCTTTCCATGCCCGAAAATCGAATAAATTTGGTTTTCTGCACTTCGGTCAGCATCTTCTTCTTGTTGTTTGATTGTTACGGGATTCTCATTGCCAATGTGGCTCTTATAAGCCTTGTTTTAATAGAGGTTTGTTAACTAATTGAACTTTCAAATGAATTTGATTATTCTGTTCCCAAGTGTTCTAACATCTTAGTTGCAAAATCTTGATATTTGCACAATTGAAGTTGCCAACTAAGTATTTAGAGCATCTTAATGTCATTGTGCCCTGGTGATGGTGTGATATTCTTTTGGCTCAGCTGTGGCTGCACTTTTCCGTTTGTCTGAAAGAAATTATGAACCCTAACAAAGTAGGAACGTTGCCATGAGTTGGACGGTCATGTAACCTAATTTTCTTTTGTTTTCAGTTTTGTTGTTATGGAAATCAAAGTCTTTTGAGCTAGGTTAAGGATTTGTTTGATGCTGAGTGTAGAGTTGAATTTCAATCTCCTTACATTGTATGGCTGGAATTAATTTGAAGACTCACAAATCAGCAGAATATATATTTTATTTGAACTATGCGACGTCAGTGAGATCTTAATCAAGTAATGATATATAATATATATATGTGTATGTGTATATAGTCAATGGGATTCACTTCAACCATGGATTAAACAGTTCTATAATCAAGACCATCCCCAGTTTATTGGATTAAGTATGTTTTTTCATGGATAAAGGATGGTGGTACTAATTGAAACAGATAATTTTCAATAAGATAGAACTCAAGTCTTAATCTTCGCATGCCAAACTTTTTCAGAGTAATTTTTGAGAACGGTAAGACAGTAACTAATAAGGGCCAAGCAGTAACAATTAAAAAAACACACCAAAGGGGGTATACTAAGTTCTCTAATTCACATTCCCAGCGACACCGTCTTCTAACTTTTTTGGCGGGGGTTTTGGCGGGAATTTATCTTTCCCGCCAACGAAGCTATTTTCTCTCTCTACCTATGTTGGTACTAGTATAACACTCGTATAGCATAAAGATCGATACAACTCCCTCTCCTCTCTTTCTTTCTCTCTATTCTGCCCCAGACGGTTGGTGGTGTTGAATCCAAACGAACAAGAAAGATGTTTGAGCTAAGGTTGGTGCAGGGGAGTCTGCTGAAGAAGGTTCTGGAAGCGATCAAAGACCTGGTGAACGATGCGAACTTCGATTGCTCAGCCACCGGATTCTCTCTCCAAGCAATGGATTCGAGCCACGTGGCGCTGGTGTCCCTCCTCCTCCGATCCGAGGGCTTCGAGCACTACCGGTGCGACCGCAACTTCACCATGGGGATGAATCTCGGCAACATGGCCAAGATGATCAAATGCGCCGACAATGATGACATTGTCACCATCAAAGCCGACGACGGCAGCGATACTGTCACCTTCATGTTCGAAAGCCCCTGTATGCTACCCCATTGACAGCCTCTCTGATTTTTATTCATATGCATTTTTTTAATAACTGTGTATAATAATTTTTAGGGATTTGTTTGATTATTTTTTGTTTTTGGTTTATTTTCTTCCTTCCAGTCCCCAAAGATATATTTTCTAAAATGTAAATATAGTAGGTATTATCTGAATATATTTTTCCTTTTAACTGACTCCAGAACTTGGGATATATAGTTGATTAATGAGAACCTGTACCATTTATGAAAGAAAGAAAATATATTAGCAGATGATAACAAAAAGAGGGAATTTTTTTGAAAAAGCAATGTCCAAGGGGTAGGTTTATAGATTGAATGGTGGGTTGCAAAAGTTTGAAGGTACCACCAGTAAGACTTATTCAGTGTCTTTTTGGTTTTTCTCCATGAACTTCTTATTTTTGTTATTCTGCATACATATCAAAGTAATTGGTTCTTTGTCGTCTCTTTGATTCTATTGAAAGTGGTAGGAGTTTAAAGAACTTATAAGCCTCGAAAAATGTAGCTTAGTGGTACTTCTTTGCCTTTCAAAGTGGAAGGTGAGCGTTCAAGACCGCATTGATCCAAAATGGATGTGCCAGTAATTTTTCCGTTTCTTGGCTTAATTTCCCTATACAAATCAGATCAACGGGTTTCTTTGTTTATTTATACTTGATGTTTTATGTTCAATAATCCTTACCTACAATCTTTCCAATGCTCTAGTAAAACCCATTCGTTCCCTTGTGCATGCTTCCTAGGGATGCAACTCCGACGAATTGGTCGGGTTGAGGTGTCAGTCTAGACTCAACCCAAGTTACGAAGCCTTCATCCAAGTCTAACCCAACCAGACATTCAATCCAAACTCTCCAACCCGAGTTCAATTCCCATTAAAATCTTTTAGCTTTGAATTGTGTTTGGGTTGCACTTCAGATTGATCTCAAGTTACAATGGGGCAAAATTTTAGTTAATTGGTCAACCTACTCAAAGAAATAAAAAATTCCAAGCTCAGATTTTAAAGCACTGCTGACCCCCTTGCCATGGAGATCAAATTTGTGGGGGTTAAATTTCAATTTCACACCCCCCCTCCCTCTTTCTCTTTACATACTTCAGTTTAGCATATAGACCAGTAATTTATCTGTTGATAATTGGTTCAACTTCCTCGGCATGCAGCTCAAGACAAGATTGCAGATTTTGAGATGAAGCTGATGGACATCGATAGTGAGCATCTTGGGATTCCAGAATCAGAATATGAAGCCATTGTTAGGATGCCATCGGCTGAATTTGCAAGGATTGCCAAAGATCTCAGCACCATAGGAGATACAGGTATAAACTGTTTTATCATCAATACTATATTTTTTCTCCTTTTGTTCCTTAATTCTTCTTTTCTTTCCTATTTCCTTGTAATCGTTATACCCTATTTTATGTAACAACATAATTCAGAATGCTCATTGCTAGATTTAATGGTTTGTTATAGTCGTGATATCTGTGTCAAAGGAAGGTGTGAAGTTCTCCACTAGAGGTGATATTGGAACAGCAAATATTGTCTGCAGGCAGAATACTTCAGTTGACAAGGTTTTTTATTTCTTCAAATCTTTAGGACAAATGCAAAACTTCTACTAAATGCTTTATTTCGACAGATAAAATTTTTACTTATTGATCAAGACATGGGTTCTTCAATTTTCTGTAGGAAAATAAAATGACATTTTTTGGGGAGTAACTAATTGTAATATTGGTCTTGCTTTTTCTTGTATAATAATTTGCAGCCGGAAGAAGCTACCATTATAGAAATGCAGGAGCCAGTTTCATTGACCTTTGCACTGAGGTATATGAACTCCTTCACAAAGGCCACCCCATTGTCAAACCAAGTTACAATCAGCTTGTCTTCAGATCTGCCTGTGGTGGTTGAGTATAAAATTGCGGAGATGGGTTACATCAGGTTCTATCTGGCTCCCAAGATAGAAGAGGAGGATGCCGAGGCTTATGTAGAGACCAATACTAAGGTGGAAACCAAGACCAAGAAAGAGGCTAAGCCTAAAGCAGGGACCAAACCTAAAGTGGAGTCTATGGCTCTGGTGAACGTAGAGCCTGAAGAAGAAACTAAGCCTCCAATTGAAATCACGCCCAAGACAGAAACCAACGGTGAAGTTCAAGTTATGAACATGGAGCCTGAAGTGGAAAGCAAACCTCTGATTGAAACCAAGCCTAAGGCAGAGACTAATGGTGAAGCTGAAGTTATGGAAGTTGAGTAGTTTCGTCATACTTGACTTTAAATATGATTTAGCATTTTGGTAGCTTAACGGCTTGAACATATTGGGGGTTGTATTTTGTATGCCAGATTAAGTAATGTATGGAAAACCTTGATATCTTGTTCCTCTAGTTTTAGTGTACTGGCCATGCATTTTGTGTGCATATAGCATGAAGAGTAAAAACTAGAGGCAGGAATCAAAATAGATTGTGGAGTTCATATGAGTTATGCAACTTGTAAAATGAATTCCATTTTAGTCTGTCTTGCTTTCGGTGAAGAGTAGGATTAACTTGTTTGCTCGGACAAAGTGCATGAGTCAGGTTTGATCGTGATGGACTATAGTACTGCAATTTGGCTCGGTCCTGTACTGATATCGTCACATAATTTTTGGTGGGTGCTGCATTTGCTTCGATAATAGAATTGGGGCTGCATTAGAAAGTTGTCTTAATACTTCAACCATCATCCTGTTTGAAGTGCATTAATCCTCCGAAATGAAATTGACTTTAATGATGCTTTCAGAAATGGTTCATACTTCATGCCGCTACCATTGCCAAAAACCGTAGAGAAAAAACTAATATTGCCATATTGTACGCGTTTAATGTTAGCTTCTGTGTAGTAGGTGAGGCTTTTGTGGATAGGCTAACAGTTGTTTGGATGGAAGTAACCAAGGCAAGTTTGATAATCTTTCGAAGTTCTGTTAATGGCTATCAGGAATTCTCAGAAGCCATAGCCATTAGCCCTCACTTGAGGTTTTTCAAAACTCAAATTGCACAAGTTACTATCATTCACCTAGAACAAATTAATGATGTAGTGCATGTACTATCCCAATGATTGAAGTTCACGATTTCTGGTGCTTGGACGGCAAGGATTCAAAGCATTGGCAATCGGGTTCACTTGTAAGCATGAAATACCGTACAAATAAACCAAGAACTGGTAAAAATTGATATCTGTATCTTTCATTCATTAATTTCTATGAGAACATGTTTATAACATACTGATTCTGTTGGTTCAATTCTACAAACTTTTCCCGAAAGAATAAAAGATAAAAAAAGATCTTCCTCAATATCCCCGAACTGAGAAAAATAAAGAGAGAAATCAGTATTTATTAGAACTTTCTACTCCGCCAATCTGGTGGTTGTTGCTGATACATATGGAAACCTTATCCCCACGTCTGTGGGCAAAAAATTAGAATTTTGAAGGCAAATTCCATGACAAGAACTGCAAGTAGATCTTCTGACTTGCCACCATTTAGGTTTATAAAAAGCCAAAATAGATGGAATTTGCACCTGTGCTCTCCCAGACTAGTCTCTTATTTACTACGCTTTTTAGCTTCGCTGTAGAGGATAACCCCAAAGACAGTGAGCGTGTAGCCAAGCATCCCAGTCACTGAGACGGGATTTCTGAATATTAATATTGAGACCACCACAGCTACAGCCCCTTTTGCATTTCCAAGGACCTGGAAGTACCAATGAGAAATTGTTATCAATACAGATGAAAAGCATCTGAAAGCATGTTTTGAAAGAATTTTTTTCTAAAGAATGAAAAGGGGAAGTGCAGCACGCTGATAAAATGTGTCTAGAACTTTAATGGGCAAACCACGATAAAATTTGATGTTACTAGTCTATACAATAACTTGTGTGATGTTTACTATTAAAAAGGGCATATTTGCCAGGAGAATATTTTGTAACCCTCCCACCTAAAAGCAATCTCACTTTATTGCACTCTATTCTCAGATATGGATGAAATTTGGATAGTCAGACCAACTCCTGCTGCAACTAGAAAAATTGGTGCTGAAAGGTAGCAACCTAACTTACAGAAGAAGGTGGTGACCTTAATGCTATCTCAACATAACGGAAAAGGACCTAATTTTTCAGTCTACTATGATGCACAATGGAATTTTTTTTTTTTGGGAGCCAATCAAAGAGACTACCAGAAACACTACCAACAACAAATTCAAAAGGGAATTGATATTAACTGAAAATCTGTGGTTATATTGACCAGACTTGGCGTACTCAATTACTTTTAATCATTTAACAAAATCAATCAATAGTCAGTTGGCATGAGAAATTTTTGTATTGAATTTTGAATGAATTTCTCTATCAAATATAATCACCCCATATGACTATGAAATGGAATATGACATCAGAATAATTCTTATTTACTCTGGATGGAAATAATAATTGTCCTTGCGTTAACACAAGTCCTACAGATCTTCCAACAAAATAATAAATTAAACAAAATCAGGTTAAGATCTATTCTCCTCAATAAGTAACAAAAATTGAGGGGGAAATTTTTTGAAAGAGCTTTAATAGCTACACACCAAATAACCAACTTTTAATTCAACAAAATGCCTTAACTGACTTCTCAGTGTCTGCTTAATGAATCATTTTTCTAACAATGTCGACCTATATCTTTTGCTGGCCTTGTAACACTTTCAAGTTGAAACATTTAACTTTTTACCAAAGCATTAATAGTTTTCATTGCAGAGAACCTCTTATTGTAGACGGCTAAAACAACTTAGACAACCTCTCTCACATTGTCCTCAATTAGTGTTGCATTTGACTTCAAAATGCGATCAACTTATTCTAGGTTATGTTGCTCTTCCAATCATCCATCTGGACCTCCGAACTTTATGTTTGCTCTTCTATGGCACCATTATATATAAAGACACTTTGACATGTCACACAAAATATCTAATTAATACCTAGGCGAGACGACAATCATTACCTCAACTATCGAAGAAACTTATCAACCAAAAGAGGAAGAACTTTTTATTGTTAGAATCTTTCAAAAAACTACCCAGTATATCAACTACAGCAGTCAATGGGGTATACCAAGATCCAATATCAACGCGACTTCAATGCAAGTTCTCACATAACCCAAGATATCCTAAGATGAAAAAAATGACTCCATACCTCCCAAGCCACCTAAAAAATGCTGGATAATACAGTTAATCAGTTACCCATCCTTCGTGGTATACACCTATTGGAAATGTCAATATACCTTCATATTGTATGGTTTGTTGTTAGGTATCTTACACCTTGCTGCATTCCAAGCAAAATTGCAACTTGGAATATAAAACCTTCAAATATCCATCCTAGGAACTAGGACATGAAATTCCCCTTGGAAAGAATGAATAATATTTCGGATAAAATGCTTCAGATCTTCACAAAGCACCTATTTAAGTAGTTTCTCAAGAACCCCCAAAACTAGTTCCAACTACCATATAGCTTTCTAAAAGCGAGAAAATTCCATAATGACACGGCTATCATGATTCTAATGTTTTTCATTTCAAGGTCCTTCCAATTAGCAGAACTAATTACACGACCTCATGGGACCATATACATCTGTAAAGTTAGGTTATGTGTCTAGGTGTTGGATTTATGGTTTACTCCATATGCAAAGATCCAAAAACATTTTACAACTGTATGAGTTCTGCAAGTTTCTTTTTTCTTCCATACCTACGTTGAAATCGGGTGTCTATCCATCGTTATTAAATTCTACAAGAAAACTTTGCTCATTTTGAGTATGCATATATCACAATAATGTATCAAGAAAGTACTGGAACCCATAGTGAACAGGGAATGCATTTCCTATCTTCCTATTTCTCCAAACGTATTTACGTGTTTAACAAATTACTCAAACCATATCTACATTGTGATGCTACCATTAATGGAAATGGATGCAGACGTTGCGGAAAAACACAACTGTTCTTCATTGTGAGAGGGACAAGCCATTTAGCTATTCTTCATTGTTTTCTACTCTTCAAGATTAGAACTAAAGCATCATTTACTCCATAATCACAGAAACTAAAAAATAAAAACAAAAAATAAACACACACACACGAATTAGGCCCAACAAAAACATCAGAGAGGAAAATGAAAATCTTAACAAACATAAAAACTGACAGAAATGCAACACTAATCTTCTCCAACACTTCATATTCTTCTTCTTTATTTTTTCCCCATTAGAATTTTTTTTTTTCATTGGCATTCCCCATGAGATTAATATTACTGCAAATTCAACTTTAACACATTATGATATCAATAAAAATTAATATGATCCCAGCTTACAGTTTTCTTTGAAAGGAACACAACTGATTTAATGTGGTTCAAATACTGAGCCTGAAGCAATGTTTTAATAGCAAACACAAAGTCAATTCAATCACAAGGGAAAAAAAAGAAGCTTAGAACAGAAAAGGAAGCAAACCTGTAGAGTCAGAGCACTTGTGTGTTTTGTGACCAAAAAATTGGTCAAATTGACAAAATATGCTAGCGCAGAATTGAATAGCAGATACCAGATGATCCTCGTATCATCTCTGGCAAGTGCAAGTGTGACACCAACTACATTTTCTTCCATAATGAGTGTTGCAGGAAGTAGAAGTACAACAGCTATTGGAGCCATGTACAGGAGGAGGTTCATGGAATTCAACTTCTCCCTAAAACAAAATTACAAAAAAAATCAATATTAGTTTCCAGATTCGGAATTAATATAAATGCAAAACAGAAAAAAGAAAATAAAAATCCATTGAATTCACTCAAATGTACATCACTCGACTACGTACAAAAAAGTATAAAATTCATTACCCTTCAGAAGAAAGCAAAATCCCCTGAAGCACAGATTTGAGTGCCCTTGCAGCCGTAGCACCAATGCACATTATAAACCCAAAAAGATGGAAACTTGGCTCCCCCTAAGGCCATAAAAATAGAAAGAAAACAAGAATCAGAGGCAAGACAGTTTGTTCCAACAAAATAATTTTTCCTTGAATGGGGTATTTTATAGGAAGAAAAACAATAATTTACAAGTGGACAACTGAGGGCATAATAATGGCAGAAACTTCCAAAATGTACGAATTAAACCAGCTAAGATGGGATCCAGACTAAGTTCCTTATATGGTTCATTCATAATTGAGCTCACCAACTAAATGAAGAAATCATTAGTAATCAAGGGTTCCTCAACCTAATTGATAGTCTCACAGGAGTTGTCAAAACTCACAGGTTGCTTAAATCCATAAATTCCACTAATTCAAACCCAAAATGCAAAAAATAAGATTAAAATACACCATTCTTTTAGTTGCCTAGAAAACTTAAAAACCAAAAAGAAACTAAATGTTTCATAATGTAGGACCAAAATGAGCAAAATCCTCCAGGTAATCAAATCCTAATTGAACCATATTTGGCTTCTATTGTAGTGAGGAATTCAAATTCTGTAGAATCAAAAGAACATGAAACCCAAAATTCACAATTTTCATTTTTCTTCTTCTAAGACCCACAATTTCCCCATCAACTAAACAAAGGGTAGTTCTTTTTCCCCTGTTCCTCACTTTGTTTAAAAAAAGAAAAAGAAAAGAAAAAAAGCAACTGTAAAAAATTAATTCATATCATAATACCAAAACTTAATTGCAATAGCTATCACCAACGATGCAACCAATAATTGTAGTTTAATACAGAAAAATAAACATTGATTTACGTTAAACATATGAGACTCTTACCCCGCTGGCGATGATGACTCCAGTGACCACAGGAATGAGAGTGAAATAAACGAGCCAAGCCTCCCTCTTCAACGTCATTAAATATGCAAACACAGCCGTGAAGAACGGAGTCGTTGCTCCGATTGCCTGATTGAACGAAACTGGTAAAAACCTCAGCGAGATGTTACCGCTGACAACAGAGGCACAAAAAATCATACTGAGGGCAGAAATCTTCAAAAATTGCTGGCGAGATCGGATTGTCTGCATAGGGACCATCTTCATCCACGCAATTGCAATATAGCTGAGCAGAGAACACGCAGTCATGTGGCACATGGTGAGGAAGATAGGGTATTTGAAGCCATAGTTGCTGAGCAAGTACTTATTCAGTAACAAAACCCCAATGTTGGAGGAGTACCAGGCCGCCACGAGCCCGATCGTGAACAATCGGCTCGAGCCCTTCATCTCCGACCTGGCCTCAATTCTATCGAATTGTATCACAGGAATGGAATCTAGAGAGAGAAATTAAGAGCAAGAGAGAGAAAGAGTTATACTAGTTAGCGCTGGAGAGAGAGGGGGACGTAGGAGGACGACGACAGAAGAGGAAGACTAAGAAAGATCTGAAAAGCATTGGCCGAAGAATGTAGAGAGAGAATGAGATCATGTTCGTCCATGGATCTGATACAATTTCATGTCATGAGAGAGAGAGAGAGAGAGTGGTGGAGTTTTGATGCCGACCGACGACGAGTTTGCGGGGAGAGAGAGTCCTTTTAAACCAGAAGAGGTAAACGCGCGTGGGACTTGGAGAGAGAAAAGTAAACTAATATTTATTGATTCATTTTGTTTATTTATTTTTAATGATTCTTTGAATCGTCTTTTACATGTATGCAAAGGGTGTGCTTTTACTTGTACTTTGGTTTGTTCTTTAATTTTTAAATTTTTTACTAGGGTTTTTGTATGTAATTTTTATTTTTATTTTTATGTTTTTTTAGTATATAGTTGTTGTAAAATATTTATAAAAATAATTTAATTATCAATTTTTAGCAACTTATTTTTGTCATATATATATTTTGTCTAAAAAAAGAAAATATTTGAATGTCGACTTAATAAATGAGCAATTAAAGCTTTCGTTTTTAGGCATATCAAGTACTTTAATTTTACCTTAATTATAAAATTTATGGTTATTTTAATTGTCAAACTATGCAGTTACTATAAATTTTTGTGACTATGTGAAAGCCCTTGTTGATATAATTACCGTTACTGTTACTAACGAGTTAATTAAGTGGATCAATTAACCGTCAATGTTAGGCATCTACCCTAAATAAAATGTGAGATGTCATTAAATGATCTCTCTTGGATTTCATATGACTACTCTAGTAATCAATAATGTCCATCAACTAATTTTGTTGCATTTAATATGAACTATAGCACCACTAAGTATTGTTCCCTTTTATTTATTTATTTAAGATATGATATTTAGAATTATGCTTAGACTTAATTGACGACTGTCATTCATCGTGAAAGAATTAAATTCGAATGTGAAACAAAATTTATTAAATAAAGTACATTATAGGAAAAAATAAAATCTCATTTTTTTTGGTAGTTACTCACTCAAATCACAATTGTAACTAAGAGGACATGACCTTTCAAGGTTCGGTTTAAAATTCCTGTACTTTTTAGGTATGTTTTAACTATTTTCTGTTTCTTGGACATTTTATGTTCGAAACGAAAATTTATGATTCATGTTGAGCATGCACGTGCGACATTTACGTTTCCTTCAATTAGGGAAATACTTCTTGCATTTTAAATAAACGTTTGTTATGCTGTTTAAAAATTACTGTTCAAAATGGGTTAGTGTCTTTGTTATGCTATTTCAAAATTACTGTTCAAAACATGTGAATTTTGGATAGTTCAATGGGTTAATACCTCTATAACATGTAAATTTTGGAGTGTCAAACTTTGACTCTTTATATATACTACTTTAATTAACTTCGACAATTTAAATTTACTAATCTAACTTCTATACTAATCTAACTTCTTGTTAACTCAGTGAATTGTCTCCCGTAAATTTTGGGGTGTCACTTAGACTCTATGCCTTAAAAAAATAATAATAATAATAAAAAGTATTGCGCCTTTCCATTTTTAATTGCAGCACCATCATGACAATAGAACTTCTATATTATGAAGTCAACACCCCTATTCGTATTAAAACTATATCAGCCCCCCCCCCATACAAGCTGCATAAACAATACATTAAATAAAGGAAATAAGGAGTATCGGATTTGTTGAAATGAACGGACAAGTATCCTGTCCTCTCCAGAAAAGGAGAGGTCTTACACACCGGCCAACTATTGATAATCATTACTAGTAAGAGAATCCAAAATAAGGAGTATCGGATTTGTTGAAATGAACGGACAAGGATCCTGTCCTCTCCAGAAAAGGAGAGGTCTTACACACCGGCCAACTATTGATAATCATTACTAGTAAGAGAATCCAATTCAATGGTTGGTTGGTGTGCAGAACCTCTCCTTTCCTGGAGAGAATCTTTGTCCGGAAATGAATTGTATCCCACTACTTTAGTTTCTTTAAAGGAATATATACAATAATACATGGTGCAAATCCTCCACAGTACATCGAAGAGGATCACCTCTCCAAACACGTTAAAGCTAAATTATAAACCAGATTGGTGCTTCCAAATGCAACATAAATATTTGTAGGCCAACTCTTTCATGCTAAGAGGCAAAAATATAGTATAGCACACAATTGGGAATGAATGGAAGTTTCAAAAACCAGGAACAATTCTAGAACATGACAATCTTTTACCAAAATTCGCTGGAACAATCCATTTCCAAGTAAAGAAACACATAGACAGGTCATGTAAGCGGAGGCAACAAAACAGGTCAAACAAATGTTCTGTCTGTAACTAGTCGGGACACAAACAGTACGAGAATAAAGTACTAGTGTAGCTCCAAAAAGAAAACTACAAAGCAAAATGCAGATCCAATCTATCGCCGGTGACCTCAATCTGGGATGCAAATCCTTCTGGAGCCACCAATGACGACCTCAATCTGCCATTTACACCTTCAGCGGGAACTGCAATGGGAAAAGAGAGATATAATTACCCAAAAAATAAAAATGAAAAACTAAACTTGACAAAGAGATGTATCTAGGTAAATTCAAATATATAAACAGCAATTGGCAACACATAGCAGCCCAAGAACCAATACTTTCTTTCCAAGGTTTTCCAAGGACATCTCAAAAGGAAACCCCATAGATATCTTCATAAAATCCAAAAAACAGCATTTACTGATAAATTAGTTTACTATCCAAAGACCAGTTAACTTAAAAAGATTGCTACGACTACAAGGGAAAAAAAAAAAAAAATCTAATTTATTTCTATAGAAGACACAAGGGACATGATTGAAGGATCATGAACTGATTACATGAGGATGGCGATGTATTGATCATGACACTGATAGTAATAACACAAATCTTCAAAACCAATTGTAAAAATTCAAAAGTATGCAACACATACCTAGTTCCATAAAGAGCACACCATTTTGAGTATCATTGGATATTAATAACTAGGGTGAATTACACTCACCTCCCCTGTAGTTTCACCTTTTCACCCTCAGATGAAACTTTTGTGAAAATACCTCTGACCTCGTCAGAGTTAGTCTAGTTAATGTGCCAAACAGAAGCTGTGAAATTGTGTTTATACCCTCACTCTAAAGACCAAATTTGATCATTCTTCTATTATTAATTTACATATCTTAGATTTTGTAAATACACGAAGAGTGTCTGTTCGTACTCATTTGTTTTTCCAACAACTATACTTGGTTCGCGAGCAAGCCTTTCCAAAAATTACAAATATGTGCAATCCCGAATTGCATGAATTCATTAGCTGTGGTGGAAACGATGAGAATTTTCTCTGTGGGGAATAGATAGAATATGCAACAATAATTCTGATTATATTAAAAACAAAAACAAAAACCATTATCAAAACATAGTAGTGGATTTTAAGAAAAAAAAGGATTAGGAGGGGTTCCTCTCAGACAAATGCCTCGATTTGTCGTCATGATTGAATGGAATGGATTGAAATCGGACTCGTCATCTTATCCATTTGTTCATCACCGAGAACCACAATCCCTTTTCAGTACACTTATATAGAAAGAAAAAATAAACAAAAAATACAATAAAAATTATATTAAGAGAAGAAGAAAAGATAAGATTATAAAAATAACAAAGAAATGATGGATCGAAATCAAAGCAAAGCTAGACTGATTGTTGTAATAGTTTCAAAAATATAAAAAAACATAAGCAGTATTGAAGGAGGACCAATAAATGACTGAAGTGAAAGTTAATGAAAATAGTATAAAGTACAGCTTAAAGTGTAGGCTACATATCAGGGCTCCGGAGTTTTAACGGCAGGATCCAAGTAGGACGTTCTTACATACAATTCAGTGAGAGAGAGAGAGAGAGAGAGAGAGAGAGAGAGTCCAGTGTGTGTGTGAGAGAGAGAGAGAACAAAAATGGTTGTATGAATTTGAGAGAGAGAGGGTGAGAGAGAGAGAGTGCAGTGCGTGTGTGAGAGAGAGTGCAGTCAGTGCGTGCGTGCGTGCGTGTGAGAGAGAGAGAGAACAAAAATGGTTGTATGAATTTGAGGGAGGACAAAAAGGATTAGGAGGGGTTTCTCTCAGACAAATGCCTCAATTCGTCGTCATGATAGAATGGAATGGATTGAAATCGGACTTGTCATCTTATCCATTTGTTCATCACCGAGAACCACAATCCCTTTTCAATACACTTGTATAGAAAGAGAATATAAACTAAAATACAATAAAAACTACATGAAGAGAAGAAAAAAAAAGAAACTATAAAAATAACAAAGAAATGATGGATTGAAATCAAAGCAAGAATGATTGTTATAATAGTTTCAAAAAAATATTGAAGATACAATGGTCAATGCTAGGACCAATAAATGACTGAAGTACCTGAAAGTTAATGAGAAGAGTATAAAGTATAGTTTATAGTGTATGCTATATATCAGGGCCACGGTGTTTGGATGGTAGGATCCAAATGGGAAGTTCCTATATACAATTCAGTGAGAGAGAGAGAGAAAGAGAGAGAGATTCCAGTGTGTGTTTGTGTGAGAGTGAGAACAAAAATGGTTGAATGAATTTGAGAAAGAGAGACGATTAAGAAGGGTTTCTCTCAGACAAATGCCTCAATTCGTCGTCATGATTGAATGGAATGGATTGAAATCGGACTCATCATCTTATCCATTTGTTCATCACCGATAACCACAATCCTTTTTTTTTTTCTTTTTTTTCTTTTTTTCATAATTAAACCCTTTTCAATGCACTTATATAGAAAGAGAAAATAAACTAAAACACAATAAAAATTACATAAAGAAAAGAAGAAAAAAGAAAACTATAAAATTAACAAAGAAATGATGGATAGAATCAAAGCAAAGAAATGATGAATTGAAATCAAAGCTAGAATGATTGTTGTAATAGTTTCAAAAAATAAAAATAAAAAAATAAAAAATATTCAAGATAACAATGGTAGGACAAATAAATGACTGAAGTACCTGAAAGTTAATGAGAAGAGTATAAAGTATAGTTTAAAAGTGTAGGCTATATATCAGGGCTCCGGAGTTTAGACGGCAGGATCCAAGTGGGACGTTCTTACATAAAATTCAGTGTGTGGGAATGTGTGCGAGAGAGATAGAGAGGAGAGAGAGAGTCCAGTGTGTGTGTGTGTGAGAGAGAACAAAAATGGTTGTATGAATTTGAGAGAGAGAAAGGATTAGGAGGGGTTTCTCTCAGACAAATGCCTCGATTGTCGTCATGATTGAATGGAATGGATTGAAATCGGACTTGTCATCTTATCCATTTGTTCATCACCGAGAACCACAATCCCTTTTCAATACATAAAGAAAGAGAAAATAAACTAAAATACAATAAAAAATTATATGAAGAGAAGAAGAAAAAAGTGGGACGTTCTTACATACAATTCAGTGTGTGTGTGTGTGTGTGAGAGAGAGAGAGAGAGTCCAGCGTGTGTTTGTGTGAGAGAGAGAGAGAGAGATAAAGAGAGAACAAAAATGGTGGTATGAATTTGAGAGAGAGAGAGAGGATTAGGAGGGGTTTCTCTCAGACAAATGCCTCGATTCGTCGTCATGATTGAATGGAATGGATTGAAATCGGACTCGTCATCTTATCCATTTGTTCATCACTGAGAACCACAATCCCTTTTCAATACGTATACAAAGAGAAAATAAACTTAAATACAATAAAAAATTATATGAAGAGGAGAAGAAAAAAGAAAACTATAAAATTAACAAAGAAATGAAGGATCAAAATCAAAGCAAAGAAATGATGAATCGAAATCAAAGCAAGAATGATTGTTATAATAGTTACCAAAATAATAATAATAAAATATTGAAGATACAATGGTAGGACCAATAATGGACTGCAGTACCTGAAAGTTAATGAGAAGAGTATAAAAAAAGTTTCTAGTGTAGGCTATAAATCAAGGCTCCGGAGTTTGGATGGCAGCATCCAAATGGGATGCTCTTATGTACAATTCAGTGAGAGAGAAAAAGAACAAACATGGCTGTATGAATTTGAGAGATAGCAAGCTTGGTGGTTGAAAATTTGGAGGGAAATGCAGAAAAAGGAGAGTCAAAAGTACCTACATAGCAGAACTAGAAAGGTACTCTTGTAAATGTAGCGCACTTAAGGGCACTTTGGTCACTACAATGTTTTTTTAACCCCTCAAACAGTTGCTTAATGATAGGGGAGTCTCTGATTTTTTCAAAACCTCGAGGGAGGTTGACTACGATTTTGACCAATGTTTCATCTGAAGGTAAAAAGGTGAAACACAGGGGAGGTGAGGGTAATTGACCATAGTAACTATAATCAGAAAAAGTATATAAAAAATTAAATGTTGAACAATATAGAGCCAAAAAAACTCTAAAAGCCATTAGAAAAAGCAGTGCCTATTGACTAAGTTCAATGACAATTGACACAACAATGCGTGGGCATATACATGAGATACGGTTGAAGGAAAAAGAGCAAGGGAAGAAGAAAAGCACAGTAGATAGAGTAACACATCCAACTAAATTATTAAGCATAGATGCAAAGAAGCAATTTTCAGCAGAATCATGTCAAGAACAAAGGATAAATAATTAACTGTGTTCCACCTGTTTCAACAGAATTGTTCATTAATCCTCCAAATATTGATCATGTCCCCTCAATTAGCTTCAGACTGAAATATCTTCCTACACCTAAACTTTATTCTAGTTTCTCTCAAGGAAAACATGCCAATAGAAACCAGATCCCATAAAATAGAATTCCAAGCAAAGAGGGGGGATAAAACATGCTTCATTGCAAATCCAACTAGAAAGGGATATTACATTAGTAAATCACATTCATTGCAAACACAAGTCCAAAACCATAATGTCAAATTTATTTATCAAAGTATGCACTTTCAAAACAAAAACAATCTAAAGAGGCAAATCAAATAAAGCAACTACATCAATTAAAATAAAACCAAAAACAAAACAGATCTAAACAATTATCCCAAAACAACAGACAATTGGTTGAGCATAAAAAAGTGGTTATAAATTGATAATACCTCACATATTACTTGGGTACATGAAAACCCTGACCCTAGCTCCCTGAGAATAACAATGATTTCATGAGTCAAAATTCAATACATCATTCATAAAAAGAAGCATAAAGACATGATATACATGGAACACTATCCAAAATGTGCATTTAAGGCCCTCAAGTTACAATTAATAAAAATTCAACTCTCAATCCAAAAAAAAATGTCATGTTAGATAAAAACTAACTTCGTAACTCTTTCAAGAATGTACTAAAATGTACAAAAAAGCCTATGCTTCAGCATACTAAAAGTGGTGCTCATGCTTGCTCAAAGTAGTGACTTACTTGAGAGGAGAGCTATTTGGTAATTATTATATTTTAAGGGACATTTATTTTCACATGGTTTATAGCTATAAATATTGTATATAATTTTATATTTTGTACATTGAACATGGTTTTACCTCTAATTGCAAATTTGAGAACTTTTTTTCCCGAAAGCTAAAGCAAATGCACACACCCACGGCATGACCGGGATAGTGGCCCGGTGGTAAATTTGAGTGGTTTTCCGTGTGTGTATGAATCATGTATACAATCTGGATATTAATTAGTTCAGTAGTAGTACCATTGATTTAGGAGGGAGATTAGACTTGAATTTAGCTCGAACAACCCCAGTGTTACCATGAGGCCTAGTCACCTTGCCCCAAATGCATCGGTAGTGTGACCCGTCCTTCTTCACCTTAGCCTTGTAGATGTAAGCCATGCGCTTCCCGAGGTACCATGACACCTCCTCCTTCGTGTTCACGCCCTCGATCTGAACCAGCGACGTGCTTGGGTACTGATTCGACTTCGACCTGATACCAATCCACACACAACAATCAGTACTAACCCAATCAGCAAAAACAAGCCCTAATCGCAGCAGCCAAAAAAAAAAAAAAAAAAAATTTAAACATATTGAATTTACTGATATCGATTATATATCACCTCTTGTAACCTAGAACAGTTCCTCTGACGTAGAGTCTGAATCAAAACATGAAAATAACAAGGACTGTTAGTGTATATACATATATATATATATAGCGATGATGAAAGTAGGGGATGATACAGATCTCATACCTGACACGCTCTCCTTGGCGTCCCTTCACCATTTTTGCTAGAGTGTTGGGAGACTCGGTGAATGCAAGAGATGCGTACAAATAAGAAGCCCTAACCCTAATATGGAAGATTGGATTGCTACAGGGGAAATACGACTTGTCTTTTAGCACAACTTGGATGTGGCCTAGCAGGCCCAGATTTCTCACTAGGTTTGGGCAGTCGGAGTAAGGAGGAAATTGGTTTGGAGTTGGGCTGGGTTGAGTGGCACTGGAGCTACACCCATGGACCAAGATGTCCTTGTTGAGGATTGGGAAAAATATGGAACATAGTAAAGTATCCAAATCCATAGGCCCAAACTTTGATTCATTTTGATGTCTAACTTTGTAACTGTAATGTGTTCTCTTCTCCTCTTTATTTGTGCATTATATATTGTCATTTCAGATATTAGAAGGACAAAATTGGCATTCTATCAATTTTCTCTTGTTGACATCAGCAAAATCCGCCAGGTGCCTAACAAGAACCTTTGGGAATGAGTAATATTATGAAACGTAAAGAAAATCTATGTAGAATATCAACCAACCTCAAGAGAGGTAATTGAAATTTACCCTTCATTTTTAATCCCTTTGAGTCTCGAATTTTTCTACAATACATGTGCATGTAGTAAACAAGTAAAAGTTTAAATAGGCCATAAATTGAGTCTTTAGACTTGTAAATTTATTTATAAACTTGTTAACAAAACTTCTTAACAAGGTTTGCTTAAAAAGTTTTCTGACCTAATTACTAAATTTGAGATCTGGGCCACGATATTTGTACCTGTTAGTGGTTGGACCTGTTTGTAGAATTCCTATCGCTTGGGCCAAAGTTTGCATTCTATTTTGTTTGTTGGGCTGTTTTTTGCTACCAACCCATTTACACACACTACACTTTCGTTAAATATTTGCAACTTGCTTGAATTTCCCGGAAAAAAAAAAACAAAACAAAAAAACAAAAAGGGGAAAGTTTTCTGACCCGTCGTCCAACAAGTGGAACTTTTCCGAGACGAAGAGAATCTGATCTTCAACCCAATTTTCCGAGACGAAGAGAATCTGATCTTCAACCCAATTTAGCAGGTGTGTTGTTTCAAATTAGCCTCCTTTTCGATTTCACATTTATTTACTGTGAATTAGATCATCATAAGTTACAAATTTTCGTACTTTATGTATCTCAGAAAACTTTTGATTAGGTCGTCAGATTTTTTTTTTTTTTGAAAGGTATTAGGTTGTTAGATTGTGATTGCAACTTATGATGTTTAGTTTGTGTAGTTTCTGACTTTTATAGATTCGTTTTACTTGATCATTGATGCATTGATAACCTAGTGTTGTGATCTCCTTATATTGTGATTGTGCTGTCAGTTTACTCTGACTGGGTTTAGAGTACATGCGTTGGATGCGTTAGGGATATATATTATACGCACAACCAGTGCTCAGATTCATCAGACTACATGTTATATATAATTTTTATGGAGATAGTAGACATGGGTGTTAAAAGATTTGCAAAGTTGCAATTTTTTTTTCTTCCAGAAATCCACTTTTGCTGCTACATCGTTTTTTCAATTTTGTATAAAATTTTAAGACTTTTCGATTTGAAACCGTGTTAGAATTGAAGAACATGAACAGGATAATTGTTAAAAACATTTCCTGCAAATCGTATTGAAAAACCATATGATGCAGTTTTGGTGACCCAATAATAGGGGTTCGTTATGACAAGTATGAACTTCTTCAATATGACGGACATTGGCTTACCTTGATGCCATCTTTCTGGCACCTGCTTTGTTTATCCCATGATCATAAAATACTTCTTAATTTCTTTTGCAATTTGTCTATGCCGAGCCCCATCAGACTACATGAATGCATTATTCTTCCTATAGTAATATCCCATTGCAAAAGATGCTGCCTAAATTCTGCTGCTAGGTTTTGGGGATGTGGGTGGGGCTGATCCTTAGCTGCAGCTGTTTTCAAACAGCCATAGAACGATACGAGTGCAAAAACTGTGCGGAAATTAAAATATAGATTGCAATCACTAAAGGAAGTGGGCCTCCAAGCTAAGAACTTTTAGGATTAATGCTGGAACTCCTCCCGAATGAACTGCAGAATTTTAGTGTCAGAAGAAGCATTCTCAACGTCATTTGTTATTTATTTTTGTTTGCTTCTTCAGAATACATGCATATAAAACGACTCAACCTGTTATTCTATAGCCATTCTGCATATGAAGTATTGTGGTTGAGTGACTTCAATTAGAATTTGGCCAAAAGTTTTCCAGAAGTTCTTAGTAAATCATTTATCATGCAGGAAATTATGGGTTTTTGGACACTAGTGGAAGGCTGTCTGCTTATTGCAAATGCACTGGCAATACTAAACGAGGATCGCTTCCTTACACCTAGAGGATGGAGCTTCCAGGAATTCTCGGGTGTCAGGAGAAATTCATTTAAGGGGCAGCTTATAGGTCTCATTTATGCAACACAGTATATGAGAGTTCCTCTTATTCTCCTCAACTCCATCTGGATTGTTGTAAAGCTGGTGTCTGGGTGATGTTGCCTGGTAAGTCTGTCTGAGAATTAACTAGTTTATTTCTTCCCTGGTTATGATGTATGTGTTTATTGAGCTTAATGTGTATCAGAACAAACTTACTTTTTTTTTTGAATTCTTGTGAAGTAACACAAATTTAAAAAATAAAAAAATTATTTGGAATAGCTAGGATGCCTATGATACATGAAAGGAAGATATTTGTTGACTGGGAAACATAATAAAGTTGTGGACAATTTTTGGATTTTAAAATTCAAAGCCAATCAATGCTGCAGAATTTTTTCGTTTTCAGTATAATCCAAATAATTCATCTCAAATCACCAGTTCCCTTCGCATAGGGTGTAAATTGGTTACAGGAGGGTTTTTTCAATTCATCTGGAGCTAAAAGTATGCACACTGAATTAAGAGGCCATCCACACTTTTTTTTGCAGTGTGATTGTGCAAATATTTGTTGGGTTGCAACTTGTGGTTGATGCTTGAATGGTGCTTTTATTGCATTAAGCTAGGAATTAAGGCCACAAATGTCGTTTCTTCAACCTTTATATATACAAACTACCGAATGTGCAACTCAACGTGGCCAGCCATTGAAAAATTATTGTCATCTCGTTTCCCTCACAATTTGTCATATGCATTGCATTCCCCTTCACTCTCTCCCATTTAAAATGATCAATGATAACTAGATTCTTTGTTGCTCCTCTATCAATCTTGTGGCATGACAGTGAACAAAACCTTTTTTTTTTTCCTCTCTCTCTCTCTCTCTCTCCTGTCATTGATTTGAGTAGCTGCTTTCTTTATTTATCTGTTTTTTATAAGAAATCTCTTGCATGTTATTAATCATTGTGGTAATATTATTGTATACTTTTGTGTTTCAGATCAGTTAATTGTTGCAAGGATTTGTGAAGATCATTCAGATTCGCGTTAGTATGCGGAAAAGGTTTCTTTTGGATGGGTAGATCATTTGGGTAAAGTTAAAAAGAAAAATGTTTTTATTTAAACTTCTTTCCCATGACATGGTAGGAGGATAAGGTGGTTGTGGAATTGTTGAGAAATATTGACTGTTATTGTATTTGTATCATTGAAATTGCATTCAGATTTCAGTTCTTTGGTCATATATAATTTTCTCTGCTGAATCTTATCTGAAATACAGTTTTTTTTTATAAGAGACAGTATGCGGATTTGGTTTTTATTTGTGAAGGATGTAGTGATTCTGGTCTGGAACTTGATTGATTAAAAATCATATTGTCGAGTAAGCTTTCATACCTTCTGTTTGAGAAGTTTGTTTCTTAGTTGTATAGTGCATTCTTTTGCTGCCTTGTTTATCTAAAATACCAGTAATGCAAATATATGGAACTCGTGATGAGAATGGTTTTTGTCTAGATAAATGATAAGTGATGTGCCTTGAAGCAATGATCACCTCATAGTTATCATGGTTTTGGGGGGGGGGGAAGAAATCATCTAGGAAACTTATGGTTGAAATATAGTTTGCTTGAACACTTGAGTGCTTATGACAGTAAAACTCTGGGCTGGTATTTAAGGCATTTGTAAATGACTTACAAGAATGGCATAGGCAAAAAGTTGTCATCTGAAAAAAAATAATAATAATAATAATAATAAAATAAAAGAGGTTGTCATCTGAAACTCCTGCAAGCAAAGACTGCTATCTGGCATGTGTGGGTTTTTGACGTCTCTTGTTGAGACTTGAGAGACTTACCAGCATGCTTATGCATCCCTCCCAAAAGCAAAAGTACAAAGTCTGATGTATTTGGTTATTAGGGGTTAAGGTTTTAGGGAGGAAAAATGAAATCTTAAGGGAAGATTTTCTTGTGGATGCTGCTGGATGTGGCATCTACTATCATGGGTATGCTGTCAGTAGCTAAAGTTGTAGAATTATCTGAAAAATATGAGATGAATAAATTGATTTAATTAACAAATGCACCACTATAGTTGATGAACCACCTGAAGGGATTGTGATCATATTCCTGGCAATTTTCTGGTCTGAAAATGGAAATCTATCTGATGTGTCTAGTGCTATCATTTTCATTTAAAGCAATCTTCGTTGGATGCTTGTATTGGCTTCATCTCCATTAGTCATGTTGTTTTGCTTGCTGCATTTCACAACCTTTCCCAGTCACATGGCATCAACTGTGCAGGCAGTGATTTGCGGGCGATTGTGTGCATCTGGAGTCTGCAAATCATCCGAGAGTCCAAAGTGGCTAGCAGGTGGGTTAATTTTATTCAAATCCTACATAGAATGCATTTGTATTGTTTGTAATCCTAATATATTAAAGTATGATTTGAGCTCCCCAATAATCATAAGAAATAGCATTATAACAGCCGTAACCATGACACCACTTTCGTGCTTTGTGCCAACACGAATGCTGCTATCAACCCCCTGTTGATACAACACTACCACCTCACCACCACCGTCATGGCCATCATCACCACCCATAACTTCATCAAAATAGGCAAACTGAAGAATTGGAAACAAATATTGTTAGCCAACCATAGGGTACGAATGAAAAAAAATTAAACTTTCCATTAGGAACCAAATTCCTTTAAACTTAAAAGATAGAATTAATATGGATGGAGGCATGGGGCTCATGTAGTTTGCACTTTAGAAAGGTAGATATGGTAGAAAAGTCTGTCAAATACACTATAATGCCGCAAAGGATTCTATGTAGAGTGGGTTGAACTTCGGGGCAGAAAAAATCTCAGCAACTTGATCTGTTCATTTTTCTATAAAAGTGCAAACTCAATGAATTTAGGGATAAAAATCCCACGCATGTTATAAATCATTGTGGTTAATATTCTTTGTATAATTTTGTATTTCAGATTAGTTAATTGTTGCAAGGATTTGTGAATATTCATTCCGATTTACGTTAGTATGCAGAAAAGCTTTAAAAAGGAATTGTTTTTATTTAAATTTCCTTTCCCATGACATGGTAGGAGGATAAGGTGGTTGTGGAATTGTTGAGAAAATATATACTGTTATTGTATCATTGAAATAACTTATTGGTCTTAGTTCTTTGGCCATATATAATATCATCTGCTGAATCTTATCTGTAATACGGTTTGTTTGATATGAGATGGTATTAGGATTTGCTTCTAATTTGTGAAGGATGTAGGTCTGGAACTTGATTGATTTACTTTCATATTGTTCAGTAAGCTTTCAAACCTTGTGTCTGAGAAGTTCATTTTTTAACTGTATAGAGCATTCTTTGTGCTGCCTTGTTTATCTAAGATATCAGTGATGCAAAAATATGTAAATGATGTGACAAGGAATTGCTTTTGTCTTAATAATTGATCAGTGATGTGCCTTGAGGCAATGATTATCTCGTATTTATCATGATTTTGAAGAGAAGGTCCGGGCTGGTATTTGAGGCATTTGTAAACAACTTGGTGAGAAATTCAGAAACTAGGCTTGAAAATGGAAATCTATCTGATGTGTTTGGTGCTATCATTTTTGTTTGAAGCAATCTTTAGTTGGATGCTTGTATTGGCTTCATCTCCGTTAATCATCGTGTCTTGCTTGCTGCATTTCACAAGAAATAGTATCATCACAGCCATTACAAGCTACCACACCACTAACGCCGTCGCCAGCCTATTACTACTACAACAATACCCCCACAGCTCCACCACCATGGCCATCATCACCACCCATAACTTCGTCAAAATCTGCAGACTGGAGAATTGGAAACAAATAAAGTTAGCCAAGCATAGGGTACTAATGAAAAAACAACTTTCCATGGATGGGGGCTCATGTAGTTTGTGTAGGTTTAAATCATTCACACTTCAGCAATGTAGATATGGTTGAAAAGTCTGTCAAATACTCTATAATGGTGCAGAGGATTCTATGTAGATTGGGTTGAACTTTGGGGGCAAAAAAAATCTCAGCAACTTGATCTGTGTCTTTTTCTATAAAAGTGCAAACTCCATGGATTTGGGGATTCTTGTTATTTTATTATCCCAACATCTTTAGCTGGCTTTCTCATTGTTTAGTTGATTATAGCAAATATTACTATGGTCCACCATTTCATTGTGTTGTCTTCTGATTGATCAGAGTAGTTCCCCAATCCTGATGGGATTTGTCAGAGCTTATTGGTAGCAAAGTAAAACTCAAGTTATACAATTCTTCTCAATGGTATTACTTATTGCTCTTAAATTTCGCACGATTTCTGCTTTCATACTTTGTATGTGCTCTTGCTTCCATTTCTATTGCGTGACTTAGATTTTGTGACTTTGCCGCTCCCACTCTCGCTCGGTGTGACTTACTCTAAAACTACTTTATCAATCTCAATTAATTATTTATAGAATACTATCATCAATAGCGTAAAACATAGCCGTGAACACAAAAATGATCTTTATATATTTTTTGTTTTTCATTTTATGAGTACTTCTAGAAGAACATTTTTTTTATTTTTATAATTGAATAACTAGATAATTATCCAAAAGAGACTACAAATTTATCAACTTAAAGCAACATTTATATCACTTTCTTTTCAGTATATCTCAATAAATTAATCCTTGGTGGATCCTTAATTCATGGCAAAAATTCAAGTTTCACCAGGTGGGAATGTGGAGAAAGATGTGGTGGGGTTGAGGATTTTGAATTTGGGAGCAGGTCTAGGGGCTTTAGGCAACCCCTGGCATGAAGCATCCAGTCCTTCTGGACTTGAAAAATCATTAATTTCTAGGGTTTTTTTTTTTTATTTATTTTTATTGGCAGTTAATGTGTCCTTGAGTCCTTCATAAAGCTTTTGTAGTCCAAGAGGGGAACATTTTGGGCTACACATTTCCCATTTGGAAGACTATCCGTACAGTACTCAGTTATCCAAGAATGCTTCCATCTGATCCTAAGACCCCATCTTCCTGTACCACCTAAATCCAGATAATTTCATTTCAAAATAAAACCAAAATCTTACTTTAATACTAGTATAAGAGTAAAGAGTAATTATAGACCATGCGAAAAAGAAAACGCGGAAAATTACTCACTTCAAAATTACTAACGAAAGAGTCATTTCGTACATAATATAAATGATTCGAAAAAAAAAAAAAAAAATCCATAACATGGTGCTTTCTCTTTCCCTTCGAACAGGAAACTAGAATCTTTCCAATAAATTTAAATTACTTGTTCTCGTGTTTTATAAATTTAAATTTATGAAGTAAAAATTCATAAAACTATACAAATACAGTATTATCTATACTTTATATAAACAAAATATTTATTGTTTTAAAATTTATATTAAGGAATTTTTAATCTATAATTTATTCATCCTATTAAAGTTCTACAAAATGTATTTGTCTTTTAGGGAAAAAGTAGAGGTCAAGAATAATTTTACAAAAGATGATGCTTGAGGAGAAGTGTTGTATATATTCAATGGAGAGTTTTTAGTTTCCTCTGTTTGTGAGAGGGGAAAGAGAAAGCATCATTTTTTTTCTTTTCATTTATACCATATAAGAGGGACTTTTCTTTTTTAATTCTGACGTAGGTTAGCCAAATCAAATTTGCGTTAGCTATCATTACTCAAGATTAAATGATGTAAGTGCAAAGCATGCCTGATGTGTGTGCCCAACAACAGTTTATTAAATTTTACATTTTACTTAAATAAATATATGTAAGAGAAGAAAAATGATGTAATGTAAAGTCCCTTTCATTTTATTAAATTTGACAAATTTAGTGTTAGGTAGTAAAATTTTTGTTTGAGCCACTTTTTTTCTTGCAATTCTCTTGTGCTTCTAAATTTTGTTCTTTTCTTTTTCTTTCTGCATTTACTTCTAAATTTTATTCTTGACTAATCATGAATCGTAAGTGATTTGTTGTTAGTCCTGATATTAACCAAAATTTATACTTATAATGAAAAATGAAAGTACTGTGAATCAAACCTAATTTATATATTTCGGTTCAAGCAGGGATGGAGGCAGTATGACCATGGCACATGCCCCCCTTTGAATTTTTTTCTTTCCTTATTTCCTATATATATATATATATATATATATATATATATATATATATATTCCTACAAATATGTATATATTTTTTGGAAATATGTAAAAGTGTCCCCTAAAATTTCTCCATATAATATATATGTTTCCTTAAACTTTTTTTTTTTTTCTTAAATTATTTTATTTTATTCTATATATGTAATTTATTAATTTACCTCATCTTAAAAATATCAACCTTTCTATATATATCCACGTGTCTTTAGATTTTGACTGTCAAACCCACAAATCTTGTAGCGTGGCAAGAAACTCATATACCTTTTTGTCAAATTTAAACTATCAAATCTTCTTTTTAAAAAGATATAGGAGATACTAATAGAACACAACCACACCCACAAATCTTGTAGTGTGGCAAGAACTCACACACCCTTTTTACCATATTTAAACTATCAAATCTTCTTTAAAAATATATAGGAGATACTAATAAGACACAACCTTTTGTCATCAAGTGAGTCATATATATTATAAAAGTCTAAAATAAATTATAGTCCCACAGACTACCAAAAAACACATAATTTGCAAAATTTAATTAAGGAGAGTTAGATGTACCTAATAATCTTAACTAACATTCATTTCCTATAGGCTATAGAATGATGTAGGGAAGGTAACAAGAATTGGGAAATCACATGCATGGCATGCCTATAGAATGTAAAAGGCCAGAAGGTTCATGTATTGGAAAGTATTCATTAATTGTGTCCTGCAATATTAGGGTACCCTTGGTTGGAGTTGGAGGATAGATATTTGAATGAATGTTTAGGGGCTAAGTAATAAAGGGAAATAGACTTGAAAGGTTGGGTTGGGGCCATGTTGGGGCCATGTGATAAGGTTGTTTAACATGTATTGGGGGTCATGTGATAGAGGCCTAGGAGATCATAAAGAAACCCCTTCATTTTAAATTAAAAAAAAAAAAAAAAAAATAGAACACAATGTTCAAAGGGTTTTTAATTCTTTAAGGTGTCACCACGTCTGTGATTCCTTTGCCTTTGGGACACTCAATGTGAGCCTCCAAAGTAGGAAAAAGAAGCCCTTAAATATCATCTTTCACTGCCTTGGATTCTAAATAAAGTGCCCAAAGCATGTGGATATCATTTGGACTCTTGGACCAGGGCCACACCTACTATGCCCATTTCCTACTCTGTCCATCTCACACTTCTAGCTTTGGGGGATGTTTTGTTTGACCAAGTAGAGTGTAATTCTAATGAAGCTCAGATGTGCCACAAAAATTTTCTACTTATGTTTGGCACACACAGTACAACACACACACACACACATATATATATGCACAAGGGTAGTTTGCCAGGATATGTATCATATATATTTCCTTTTGGTGTTGATATATATTTGAAAATTAATCAAAATTTAGGAGTGGTACAATTACAATGGTGAACTGACTTTGGGAACCAAACAGCCCCTTCAGAAGCTGATGCTACTAGATATTCATTGTTGTGTTAAAATACATATAGATATTTTTTGCAAAATTAGTTACTTTTTATAGAGGTGAATTCAAGTTGTTGGAAGTATGTGTAATGATCAAAAAGACTAGTTGTCTTCACCATCAACCATAGAAGTATGAAATATATATGGTCAAGATATTCCAAATCAGTTCACTATCAGGCACTGTTTCATTCCTGATCAAATTAATGGCTAGTTTCAACTTGATTTAGCTGATGATCATGCTCCACAAACAAGATCATCTCCCCCATTGATTATTAACTACACACACACACACACACACACACACACATTAACACATACATGCAAAGTAATTGCCTTGAAGAGAAGCAAGGAAACACTTGCCCAAAAAGAAAAGGGAGGTACAACTTTCAATTTCACTGATGATGAAGAACACTAATGAAAATGATATAGATCATAATGTACTTAAAACTGATCTTCTTGAAAACTCTAAGCAATACTACTACTCCTTATGATGAGTGATCTCCTGAAACTTCTCTCAGGAGTAGTACTGGATCTCCATTTTCTAGGGTTGAGCATAATTATTATGCTCATGGAATGTTGATCCGTAGTGTTAATATGGGGTTTTAATATAAAGATGCAGTGAAATAAGAGTCTCAAAATCATAAAATGCAATACCCATGTATCAAAAGTTCTTCTTTACATGAACAAAGCAAAATATATGTAAATAAAAAATTCATGCATATTTTTATACATGTATTTGACTAGTTTCTGTAAAGCCCTTTATTAGTTCAAATTCAGCGTTGAATTATTTAAGAACATATATAATTAATAATTAAATGTGTGCTACCTTGATAAAGATAGAGTAATCAGAAAATTAACTTACTTGGTTGAAGATGTTTGTATAAGAAAATTGTCTGTCTCTGTGCCCAGATGGATCAGAAATGAGTTGCATGATATCATAGGAGAGTAGTGTGCACCATATATACAAGAGTATATATATAATTATATACCATGTTAGAAGAAGCTACCAAAGGAAGTATCCAAAGGGATAGCATGATCCAAATTCTGCATAAACTTGGAATAAATAAATAAAAATGAAAAATGAAAAAAAAAAAAAAAAACCCTAAGTTATGAAAGAGAGTCTGGATCAATGCGATCCCTTTGGATGCCTCCTCTAGCAGCAGTACTAGAAAATCAATGCAAGCACCTGCTCCTTCGAAGCTCTGTGTGTGTTTGTGCGTGTGAAATAGGCAGAAGAAATTGGTGCAAGGAAGCTTTTATAAGGCTAAATTTTTCATTTTTATGAATTCTTAATTATATGTATATATATATATATATGTATATATTTATCATGTGTTTCGAAAGATATTTTATTTAAGTGTAGACCCTACTCTTCAACAAACCAAGACACATGAGAAGGTTTTAAAGAGCAGTGGGTCAGCCTTCGCTTCTTGGAAATTCCAAACAAGTTGGGTTGGGTTGGGTTGGGTTGGGTGCTACAGTGATATTATAATTATTGTTTTTTAATTTCAGTATAATTAATAATTTATTCTGATGAATGGTCGTGGTCCCATCCATGTTCACTCTCACACACCTAACTTTTTATGTATGCTTATTTCATAAGAAATACATTCTCCTCCTTCCTCTCTCTCATATTAATGTATTACATGTGTATGTACATGTTTGAGGGAATTTGTATAATGTATTGGTCAAATGATATATATATATTTATACACACACACTAGCATATATGTATGTGTCTATATATGGTTATATGACTCTTTCTTAATGGGTGCATGGTGGTACTTTTAAAACTTGTATGTTTTATTTGTTTGTTTGATGGGTGTATAAGGATAGTGTACATGACTCATTTTATTCTCGTTTATTATCCCATGCTTCTCACTCCAATTCATGTTCATCCATCTATCTATACATCCTACGTATAAAAACAAGCCATCTACATATATATATATACACACACTATACATATAATTATGTTCCCATGCGGTACTGTAATATAAATTTTTGAACACAATATTTTTCACCAATGCCTATGGTTCAGAAATACTTATTCAACGTACAAAATTGAAAGTTCAGACTTCAAATTCCCTTAAGAGCAATATGAGAGAGTGATTTTTTATGTGATGATAAAAAAAATTAAAACATAAAAGGAATACATCATTTTCCTCCAAAAATATATGTAATTGTATACTCTCAGCAGGTAAAAAAAAAAAAAAATCATTTTCTGTAGAATTGTTGAAAATGATGAAACAAGAAATAGCATCAACAATTCTACCAATTTTAATATATATATAAAAATAGAATAGAACTTACAAATATCACATTATAGTGACTTCCTATTTTTCTATATATATATAAAGAAATTACATAAATTTCGTCTTCTTGGAAACGGTGTCAAATTGGACTATTCTTAAGATTTCATTGCCTATGTAAGTAGTGATTGTATCATTCAACATATTATCATTATTCATCAATACACATAATTTTTTTTCCCATAAACTTTGTAAATTCAAAGTTGTCACGTACTATACTTTCCTAACTTCTACCCCGTAGTTAGCATTACATTTAAAACCCTAAACAATCATGATTTTGAGAGTGCTTAGTTAAATTATACTACTTAGAGTAACTTGAAATACTACCTGTAAATAATTTTTTTGAAGGAACAAAGTCAATAATGATTTATCAAAGAATCTTTGACTTAGCGGTATGTATATATAATCTCTCTATCCTTAAACAGAAGGGGAGAGATTCGAGCCTGATCAAAAGAGAAGTCGATAATGAATTATTAGTAAAGAGGAGTAATGTATTACCATGGGTTAAATTTGTTTTTAATTTTTGATAATTATGTATGATTTCATTAGCTCAATCAAACTATGTACAAGTGACAGGCTAAATAATAGACCTGTAATCCATAATTGAAGGCCTGATAAAACTACAATTGGCAAGCAAACTAATAGACTTGTAATTCATAATTGAAAGGCCTGATAAAATTACCCATATGTCCCACATTCCAATTGATAATGGCATTAGATTTAAGGTTTCAAAATCATTCTTGAAGGTCATTATAATGGAGGGGTCCGTGGGGCATTATCATTATATGCAATAAACATCTTTTATTTTCAACTATTTTCGTAACTATTGACTTCGATCCTTCTTTCATTGTAATTCACAATATATGTTTGTGTGTGTGTAGATGCATGCCTCACATTTGGTAAAATTTATGGACAGAGCTATATATAGAATTATTTGACATAAAAATGAAGTTTCACACCTTGGTGCATGCCCAACTACAAATGGAAGCTCAAGATAAAATATTAAATACCCTACCTCAGTGTCAGTCACACTTGGTTGAAGCATCTCATATTACTTCTTATTGGTATCTAAAGAAATTAATAAAATGTGGCACAGTAAAGGAGACCTATGTTCACGATCAGATTAGACAATAGAGTAATTTGAATTTAACTTCAAGGAGTTAGTTCAAGTGAGTAAACATTTAATGATGGAGTATCAGAAAATATCAGGTCTAAGATTCGAATCATTTTAGGTGTGAACACTTCTTTGGGAGTAATTTGAATTTAATTTTCTTTGATTGTTTCCTCTACTTTTGAACTTTTTTTTTCCGATTTCTCATTTCTGGTTAGATAAAGACTAAAACTAGTCTTGTACCACTAGCTGTAGCTTCGTACTTAGACTTGTGCACATTTTTTTTCCAAAGTTCGAATCATCTACATCCAAGGGTCCACAATTGTCACGAGTGTTTGTAATCACACATGTAAGACTTATAGACCGACGATTAAGGACAAGACATACCACCTCTCCAAACATGGTCAAATGATTGGAAGTAGAGAGTAGTCATGTCAGTGCTTTTGCACCAAAAGAAATTGAATTCCAAGTGACAATTTCAGGCACATGATAGAATTACATTTGGTTGACCCCTCATGATCATGATACATGATGTTAGATCATGTTCGCGTACACTAGTGAAACATAAATGGACCACATGGGCAGTGCAGGCTCTCTCTATAGCTATATGGTGCTGATCGTGCCCTACCCAAACATTTTTACTCTTACACACACAAAGTGGGGTAAATGTGGTTTTGGCTGATACTGTAGTGTTTGGTTGCATGTATTTTGGTTTTATGTCCAACAAGCCAAGGGTGTGAACCTGTGAGGTGCATCTTGGCCTCTTCTTTATTGAACATGAATTTCCCCACCCAGCTCTAGTTACCCATCTGGTAGAGCCATTGGACTTTGAAACAACCTGCCAATTGTTGCCTGTTTGGCTACTCATATAAGCCCTTCCAATCAATTCCACTTGGTGCCAACTCACTCACAGTTCTTTCTTGTCTTCACATGCACTCTTGTAAGTATTGGATGGGATGGACTTTTCAGTAGTACTTTTAATGATACAGTATGGTTTGGTCACTAGTCCAAGTTGGCACACTACAATTGTTATACATCATCTGTGAAGGTCCTTTGAAGGAGAGAGATAATACGCCCATTCAAATGGGAACTTTTTTTTTTTAAACGGGTTTGGACAATCATTTCGTAATTTAAATTTTGTGTAATAAATGTAAGAAGAATAAAGTGAGCCAATCGACACCGACACTAAATATCTCCTTTGAAGGGGAGAGATAATACATGCATTCAAATGGGAGCTTTATATCTTTTCCCGTGTTTTAGACAATTATCTTGTGATTCAAGTGTTATGTAATAAATGTGAGAGGAACAAAGTGAGCCAATCGATACAGACACCCAATATCTGCTTTGAAGGATAGAGATAATATACGCATACAAATGAGAGTTTTCTTTCTTTTCACGTGTTTAGACAATTATTTCGTGATTCAAATTTTATGTAATAAACGTAAGAGGAACAGAGTGAGCCAATCGACACCGACACAAACACCGACAATTGATAAATCAACACATGCATGTCTATTACTAATTGGTACAAAATTTAAGAACCTAAAGTAGAGATTCAAATATGGTGCCATCAGCGATTTGAGAGGACCTAGTTCTTTTAGAATTCTCCTGAAAGCAATGATTCATTGTGAAGAAGTGCAGGGTCAAGCTAAATTGAGGGCATTACTAAAACAATGTCTCACTTCATCATGACTGATCAAAGCCAAACAAACTAAAGCCCAAGTTGTTTTGACTTGTTCATGTAAAACTTTTTTTTTCAAGAATCACAGTTCATGAAATATATTGTGGCGTGCATTCATTTATTATCCCAGACTACTTATTATGTCCTTTCAAATACTTTCACTTTTAAAAGGTTTACAAAATTAGAAGAGAGCCCTTTTCTCCTTTCTTCTTTCCTTTCCCTCTTTCATTTATTTCCTTCCAATTCCTTCAATCCAAACACAATTTGTCCTATGTGTAAGGAATATTAATGCCAAACCCTAATTTCTTAGGAGACATTCCATGGTCCACTAAGAAACACCATATGAAAAGCTATGGATTTCCATGAAAAAACAAAAAAAAAAAAACAAGTTTGGAATAGGAGGGAAGGTGGGGCAGAGGATGTCCTTGGCACTAATTGAATTGAATTGTCCTTTGTGAAGACCTCTTAATCCTATCCACGTGACCTTGAAAATTTATTTACTAGTGAGAAAACAAAATATTTGAGTCTATTAATTTGAATATCCTAATAGGGTCCGAAATCCCTACCAAACTAAAAATTTACCTTGTGTTTTCTACTTGTAACTAGGGTTTATTTAAAACTTGGGTCTTAGTCGCTTGTAAATCCCTAATATAAAGATTGAGAAATCCATGCCATATGGCTCTGTATAATTGGGAAAGAAAATGATACTTGTACAGAATACTCAGACTCAAAACTCAAGTTGATGATGATGTGCCACTATAGTTGTACAACACTTAGATAAAATTTTAAGGACAAAACTATCCTTACATAATCCTAATTAGCAAAGAATCTTAATTATCAGTAATATCTCTCTTTATTCATCCCTATCCCATAGTCAAACCATTCTTTATTTTCTTCTCTCACCCTTTCTCCATTACCATCATTAATTCCCGATCAAGATACACAAAATTATCACTTTACAATACTTGATTTTTTCCCGTTATTTACAGTGTCATCACCGTTGTCGTCGTCGTCAGGTTGTGCACCCTAAGAGACCACTGGTCTTTTTCCATGGTGGCATTCTCTCTTTCTCTCCTCTTCAATTTGATGAACTCTATTCTCTAGATTCATCACTCGATCGACGAGTCCATTCAGTTTGTTGTTGGTTCCGTGCAAAAAATTGTTAATCATAC